CTCCGCCGCATCTCCACGAACCCTGTTAATAAACGGCACAATCCAAAGACAGGGTGACCTGGTAGACGGGGGTTTCATGTATGCTGCTAATTGGGAACCTCGCGTTTACCACGCGAACGTGCTATACCCATTACAAGATGGATAAAAACTATATTTTTTATCAAAAAAAATCAAAACAATTGGATTTATTTAATAAAAAGCTAATTAAACTTTTTATTTCATTCATGTTTTTTTTTTTTTTTATGGAGAAAAGGGGCTCATGTGTTCTTATCTCTTTGTTTATAACATATAGTTATAAGCATACATTTCCTTTTACTAAAAATTGGTTAGATTTTCAAGATTTGATAATATTAGATTTACTATTATTATAAACTTTTTGGTGCTTATTGGATTATTTTGAAGTTGGTTTTTTTTTTGTTAAAACACTTTATTTTGTTAATTAACACTTTATATAGTGATTTAATTTTAATACTTAGGTATTATAAAATATAGGTAGCAAAAACGCTGCTCGTATGAGAAAACGGCATCAAACTGAAACTTGGGCTGAAAAAGGCAAACAATTAAAAGCTATTAAGGAATAAAATGTCTAAGCATTTAAAATGAGAGGCCTGACCAGTTGGAAAATAGATTGTTAAAAAAAGATCCTATATGTAAATAGTATAATGTGATAATTAATATATGAAAAAATCAAGAAAATTAGAATTGTCTTAGTTTAATTTGCACTCGTTTCGCTATAAGTTTATTTACAAAGATTTGAAAACGGCTAATTTTGAAGTAACATCAAGGAATAATGTTGATGGAAGACTTGCCGATGGAGTTGCAATTCGAATTTATCCCACTGTCAAACAAGTAGACGCTTATAACTTATAATGTGTTTCTTATATTGTGTGATTGCATAAAACAATATTTATCCGATAGTAACAATCGCGGTTGATTTGCCGATTATTTGAAGAGTTCTCTTGCCTATCTCCGAAACTCGTCATCAGATTTATATGAAATTTGTATGAGACCATTTCGAAATGAAACCCTTTCGAACATACAAAAAATTTGCAAATCCGTCTATACCTGACGAAGTTATGAAAAATAATACCAAACATACATAAAAAAATACAAACATCCGAATTGATAACTTCCCTCTTTTTGAACAGTTTTGTTTTAAAAACTGTTCGGTTAGTCGATTTCGTCTTCGGGGTCGTTTCATTTGTCGCACTGAAGCAGACGGCGAGCCCAAAGGTCATGCAACCACTATCTATAATTATATCAAAAATCTGTTCAGTGATTTTCGTAATGTTGTTGATATAGTTATTTTAAAAATACCAGTGTTTTCTTTTTTTAACATTGGCAAGGATAATAAAATGCCAAAAAAATTTTGTATAGTGGTTGAGCGTTGATTTCTTGGAGTTATGTGCACTCTTGCCACTTGGGGCCTTTGGCAAATTTAGGGCGGAAATATGCATGTTGGGATTTTTTTTAGGGTCCAAAAAAGTTTAGGGCCATGAATAATATTTCATAAATCACTGACCAAAGTGACTAAAATAATAAGAAAATGTCTATTAATTAATGAAATGTTTATTAATATTATGAAAAGTAATTTAAACTAAGTTAAATTATATGTTTATAAAATGAAAAACTCATTTAAAGAATATCCTTGAATTAAAAACAGGGCTTTTTTGCGGCTTTTAAAATTACATTTAGGGTTATTTAGGGCTATTTCATTTTGATTTTAGGGCCATTTCCTTTTAGTAGTTGGCAGCACTGGTTATGTATTCTGTGGTTGACCCTTTGACAGCTGGATTGTCAATGTCACCTGTCAAAAGGGAAAAAAATGATGTTATCACCTATTAATTGAAATTTTACTTTATTAAATTATTAATAGAGTTAACAAGCAAATACATTATAATATATTGATAGAAAAAGTAGTCATGGATACTGTCGTTAAGAGTATGTTAGAGGAAGACGCAGAAAATGAAAAGAAGGTAAAACTTTTTCGGATAAAAGGTTAAAAGGAAATTTTATTACTTAACTTTTTATCAACACTAATTGGAAATTTAGATAAAAAGCTCTCATAACAGATTTTCGAACATAAGAGATTTTCAAACCTAATGTTGTTTTCAAAGTCATTGTTTTCTCAAGCAAAATTGTTCTCAAAATGATTTTTTCCACATGGATAAGTGGTAATGATAATTATTTTTGTTTTTAGGGTTTGTTTTTGTTTGGACGTGACTTATCGAAGATTCCATGCTTCCGCGATAGTTTTTTAAATGGGATTGCCACAGGAGTTGGCATTGGTCTAGCAGCATTTATTAAAACATCAAAACCATTATTGTCTCAACATATTGCAGTTGGGTCTTTTTCTATTTCCACTCTACTATATTGGTCGTATTGTAGATATCAGTGGTCAAAACAAAGGTTTGATGCTCAGCTATTGCAAGAAGCATTAAAAGATAAGTTAAGGTATGAAGGAACTGTTGTGGAAAAAGAATTGGAACAAAAAGGTGTTTTAAAATCTGCCTGAGAGTAACATAAGAACTTGTTAACATTATAAAATGCTTTAAGCTTTCTAGACTTTAGAATATCTTAAGGTAAAGGTAATGCTTTAAGGTTTTATATATTTAAATCACTGTTACATAGTTTAGAACAAATATATTTAAAGCTAAATCAATATGTGTCTTTCATTTCTTTAAACATAAATATATATTACGGTGACCAGAAACATCGCACGGGTGCAATGTATTATATATATAAATTCTCCCTTCTTATATAAATGCTTCCTCTTGAATCATTCTATCTAGTAAAAACCTCATTAAGATCCATTGCGTAGTTTTAAAGATCTAAGCTTACATAGGGACAGACAGACAGTGGGACGACTTTGTTTTATGCTATGTAGTGATGCATGTATAAATTATCTCCCCAAGTTTAATTTATTCCATAATCAATAGATAGACAGACAAGCGTTTTTACGTCGAATTCGAAGGATGTCGAAACTTCGACCATAATAAATTAGCAAGTGGAACACTTGATGCCGTTGGAAAGTGACCACCACAGCCTATGGATACTTGCTACATCAGGGGAGTTACAAATGCGTCGCTGGCTTTTGAGCTAGGAATAGGTTATTCAGTATGGACCCGAAAATATCGCTGGCGATAACTGTAGAATGTAAAGTGGACGTGATGCAGAAAATTCCGTGATATACGCCCGGTGGTAGTCTGTCATTCATCTAGCTGATATCGATGGTATTCGTGGAATTGTCGCATAGCACAGTACTAAAATGCAGCAAGCAGCTGGTATTTACGAAACAACACTAGAGCACTTATTGTGATAAACGCGATGGACAATGCAAACCTATGCAAGGTCTTTTCACTGGACTAAAGGTACGAAGGGTGATCGAAGAGGACCTGATCGTCTTCATTCAAGCAACGATATGTTGGCCATGAATGAATGGATAATAACATGGTACTAAAATGTCGCTTTATAGATATAAATGCACTGCAGATGCAGGCGATGGGCCGGCAGGAAATGCGTTCTTTGTCGACTAAAGACATCGGTCTTTTCAGAAGGCAAATTGAATTATCAGCTTAATTGACTGCAATATTAAACATTAATCGATTTGTCAACGCTCAGAATTCCGATCGAGGATGTGGAAGGGGGGTGCTCTTAAATAAGGAGATACGTCATTTTGGGGTTAACGCGAAAACCACTGTCTTCTTAGGGTTACATTTAACTAAATTTAGTTGGCGCCAACACGCGCCTGCTTAACAAAACCTCTATGTATTTCAGTCTATTCCTGAAAAATATTTAACCCGCCGTATATAAGTCATCATTGCACAGTATTATCATCCGCATGGCAACGAATTTTGCTAATATGCAACAAATCATAGATATGAAGTGTGTATAATTAATGTATGTACACAATTAACTACCATTTGTAACCAATTTCCAGTCACAGGTCTGCTGGTAGAAATTTCTTAAGAAATAAGCAGGGCCTGTACAAATTCTTTCATGTATTTACTTTTCCGTTATAATTCTCTGTGTACATAAATTATAAAATAAATAAATAAATGCAGAAGAAACTTGATAGAGTACGAAGCCTTGTGGTAGGTACAACAGCATTCACGGCTTTGCCGCCAGAGTATGCACTGTCAACAACGACCTTGATGCCCCATTGCCCTTATCCGTGAGAAAACTGGAAACGATTGCAAACGACTGCATAAATTTATCAGATGGCCTGCATGATACGATTTAGGAAAGAAGTTATTTGTTCAAAACGAGGGCTTTGGCTTAAATTAACCGGCAATATTAAGAAAGTTGAAAGATCGGCGCCCCTAAGCAGTATCCTTCAACAGTAACGTTTCTTTATGTAAGCGTTCACCGCCAAACAGATATCATCACAGTCCCTGCTAATTTGAAGAAATTTCATAGACCTTTATAATTCCATTCAAAAGATGACGAACTTCTCGATTAAGATGTATTTTGAAAGGTTTTGTCGGAATCAAGGTCCGCGAATATGATTGTTTCACTTGACTAACTAGTTTTCTTGATTTCTAATGTTCTACTTGTTTACATTGGCTTACATTGATATTAGTAGATTTGACCCGAGATTTGATCTTTTAACTGTTTTCCTCAAAACAACGTGACTTGGCGGTAAGTGTTTTGCCGCTTTGATGATGAGAGTATTTTTATCGATTAATGCATCTTATATTTTATAATAGATTAAGTAATATGTAATAATGAACATTAAACTGAATGTACTGCAATATATATAAGATATATACTTACTACAAGCCAAATATATTCAAACAAAATAGTAGCGACATGCCGAGAACTGTCTCACATTTAAAACGTTCACGTGCGATAAATGTTGCTTCTATTTTGTAAACGGTACACGCCGCATTTAGTTTGTCTGCGATATCAGACGGTGATGGTCTTGTTATGTACAATTACGAAACAGGATTAAAATTTTTCTAAATCGTGTTTGTGTTGATGGAAATCTAAACAATACAATGGATAAAATTGAGGATATTATAAAGAAGCCATTTCAAACGACACTCATTTTTTTTGTCAATGGGAAGAAGGTAAGAATAGTCAATTACTTTGTAACATCTCGCGAAATTATTATACGTCTTCTGACTTCATCTTATGGTTATACCGTTGACAATTGGAATGTATATTTATAACGAATATTATATCAATAGCAATCCATTAAAACTTTGTTTAACTGTTACATAGTACATACATATATAAAAGTTATATAAACAACACAGTAATTGTTGATTCTTTCATTTCTATCGTGCCAGTTTTAAAGATAAGACAAGTAATGTTAATGTTTTGCAGTCTGTACTGCACCCGGTTTTATTTCCATTCACCTTATGATGGTTTCCAAGGTGATCCTGTTATTTTATTTACATATAATTTTTAATTCTATTTATAGAAGGTAGCATAATTAAACTTACATGTCTTAAACATGTTACCTTCGAAAAAAGTTTCATTTTGGATGATTTTTTAAAAACATTTTTAACTTTATAGCTCGAATAAAACTATTGTTTGTTACATTTTTACCCGACTGCCGAATAAGCGTAATATTTTCGGATAACTTCTTCATAATATTTATAATTCTATAGAATGCTTTCTCTTTCGGTATCATACGTTCTATATCATCTGTCACATACACTTATTTTTTTTATGACTCCGTGGCGCAGATGCCAAGGTATTGGCTTCGGCGTCGGGGGTCGTGGGTTCGATCCCCACACGGGACAACTATTTGTGTGACCCGCAGATAGTTGTTTCGCATCTGGGTGTTTGTCCGCGTGTAATTTATGTTTGTAAAAACGTCCTTACAACACAGGATAATGTTATCCTAAAGTAAGGGCAATGTTTAAAAAAAAACACTTATGTCTATATAGTGTAAACCGGAATAATTTTTAAACGCTGCGCACTCGCTGTATGGGCATGCGTCATCTTTATTTAAACATCATTGCTTATAACGACGAAATACATTATGTGTGAAAATTTCAACTGTCTCACTATCACGGTTCATGAGATACAGCCTGGTGACAGACGGACAGAAAGACAGACAGTGAAATCTTAGTAATAGGTTCCTGTTGTAACCTTTGGGTACGATTGGTACGTTTTCTCCACGAGTCCGACTCGCACGTGGCCGGTTTTTTTTTGTTACCGAGTATAACCTACTACACAAATAGTTGTTAGGTAAACCAACAAAAATGAAAGGCAGCTAAAGAACAATGAATGGGTAATATAAATATTTCATTTGAATACCCATTTCATTTCATTTGAAATATATTATACAGTAGAACCTCTTAAGTCGAACATCAACGGAGACGCCAAACATTTCGAGTTATAGAGTTTTTGACTTATAGAGAATTTCGACTTGGCGGATTTTCATTCGACATACAAAGGTTGAGATTCATTTTTATGAATTTTGAGTTAGAGAGGTAAAATAAATAAAAACTCAATTTGTTAATCTTTCTTCTTTTGACAGCTCTTCACAGCATCGAGCACTTCTAATTTTGCAACTGCACTCATGTTTCAACAATTTCAACTGTTGTACAAATTGATGTGTATTGCAGTAGAACCAAACTACTTTTGACAATATTTCACTCGACAACAAATGACTTGCTAAACTGTGCTAAATGACTATGACTGTTGCTAAATGACTAAAGTTCAAATGAAATCAAAAATAATAAAATTAAACACCTGACACCAAGCAAGCAAACACGTGTTAACGTGAGTCATAAATTCGTGATAATTATTTTTATTGTACACTCCTAAATTGCTTTCTAACAAACAATGGTGTATTTACACTGTCAGCGATTTCTTAAAGTCGGTAACTTATTTTTCTTCGAACTATAGAGGTAATGAATCTCAAATAATCCAGTTGTAAAGGTTGTAAAATAAAACATTACTATGTTCGAGATACAGAGGTAAAATTAAATTTTTCGAGTTATGGAGGGAAAATATGTACGTACCAAAATGGCTTGGAGGGACTTCCTGATTATTTCCACTAATAAAGGGTTGAGATTTCGAGTAATGGAAGTTTTGGTGTTTGAAGGGAAGGGAACAAAACATTTTTTCGAGAGTTAGACGTTTTCGATTTATTGAGGTTCGACTTAACGAGGTTCTACTGTATATTATTTCTAGTAATTATAGTTTAACTGTCGACTACCGAGCTTTTTCAGTAAAATAAATAAAAAAATATCTTTAAGGTTAATTTTATATTTTCATACGCAATAGTGAGATCCTTTCTGAAGTTTAAAGTTATCAATAATATAAAAATAATGTTTAAACTGTATATACTATTGTACTTTGGACTGAACACATAAACTACTTTCAGGTGGTGGAAAAGTCGCCGGAGCCAGAATGGACTTTGCTTTGGTACTTACGCAAAAAGCTTCAATTAACGGGGACCAAATATGGTTGCGGGGAAGGTGGTTGTGGAGCTTGTACCGTAATGATATCTCAGTACGTGAGAGATGAAGATCGAATCAGGTACCCTCAAAGAATATTTATTTTTCCTTCTGTTTAAATTTATATGAAATTGTTGATCTATTATCTGTTGTAAATCGTAGTAACCAGTTCTGAATGTGCTTCTATAAGTATTTTTTGTGTTAAACAAATTTAACAATTATATTCTAATCGTTTCTTTCATTCAGACATTTTGCTGTGAATGCTTGTTTAACGCCGGTGTGCGCTATGCATGGTTTATCTATTATCACAGTAGAAGGGATTGGTTCTACACAAGATAGACTTCATCCGGTTCAAGAAAGATTAGCGAAAGCTCACGGATCACAGTGCGGATTTTGTACCCCTGGCATCATCATGTCCATGTATGCATTACTGAGGAACAAAAACAGAATAGACTATAATGATATCGAAACCGCACTGCAAGGAAATTTATGTAGATGCACTGGATATCGACCTATAATAGAAGGATTCAAAACATTTATTGAGGATTGGGAACAACAATATGGAACTGATGATCAGAATAGTTTGTGCGCAATGGGAGAAAACTGTTGTAAATTAAAGATGATAAGTAATGAAACAGAACCTAAACTTTATAACAAATCAGAATTTCAACCGAATGATCCCACGCAGGAGCCCATTTTCCCCCCTGAGTTAAAATTGAAAGATTATAGCAAATATAATTTATTGTTTAAAGGAAACAGTGTCACGTGGATAAAACCAACATCACTGAAAGATCTATTAGTGTTGAAAAAGCAGTACCCGTCCAGCAAAATAGTTGCAGGAAATACAGAAATAGGGGTAGAGGTTAAGTTTAAAAACAGAAAATATTCCATTTTAATTTCTCCAGCTTTAATAAAGGAAATGAATATTTGCGTTATTGGAGAATCTGGAATTAAAATCGGTGCAGCGGTGACATTGACTGAAACGATTAGTTTCCTGCATAAGGAAATCGAAAAAAATAAAGAAAAAACAAAAATTATCAAAGCAATAAAGGATATGCTTCATTGGTTTGCTGGAAATCAAATTAGAAATGTCGCCACTGTTGTAGGTAATATAATCACAGCGAGTCCAATATCTGACTTGAATCCTATATTTTTAGCCAGTTCTTCGAAATTACATGTAATAAGTTACTTAAAAGGGCAAAGAGAAATACACATTGATGCAAACTTCTTTACAAGTTACCGAAAAGTAGCACTCGAGGAGGATGAAGTTGTTACCTCTGTTGAAATTCCTTTCACTAAAAATAGACAATGCTTTAAAGCTTATAAACAGGCTAGGAGGCGCGATGACGATATATCCATTGTTACTGCTGCATTTAACGTAACATTTGAAGATGAAACTGATGTGGTTAAAGAAGCAAAGTTATGTTTTGGTGGAATGGCACAAAAGACAATTTTCGCCAATAAATCTTCAAAAAATATTATAGGCGTGATATGGGACAAAAAGTTATTAAGAATAACATTTGATTCCCTTACTCAAGAACTGGAGTTAAATAACTCTGCGCCCGGAGGTATGGCTGAATACCGTAAATCTCTTTGCCTGAGCCTATTCTTCCGGTTTTATCTTTATGTAAGGAAAAATCTGTGCAGTAACGTTGATCCTGTATTGGATAATCAAATTTGCGGCATCCAAGAAATAAATTCCGTAGCTCCAAAGAGCACTCAATGCTTTGAAATAAAGTTTAATTTAAAAAATTCTTATGATGTCGTTGGGCAACCGATTCTTCATACTTCGGCTTTGAAGCAAGCGGCAGGGGAAGCTATTTATTGTGATGATGTTCCAAGTATTGCAGGTGAATTATATTTGAGTTTGGTCTTTAGTACTGAGTCATATGCAAAAATTAAATCGATCGATGCAAGTAAAGCCTTATCACAACAAGATGTAGTGACTTTTATTTCGGCGCTCGATTTACCTCCAGCGTGCAATAAAATGGGCCCTGTCCTGAAAGACGAAGAGATTTTTGCTAGTGAAATGGTCACTAGCCGAGCTTGTGTAATAGGAGCAATTATTGCTAAATCTGAATATGCGGCTCGAAGAGCGAAACATTTTGTTTCAGTCGTTTACGAACCTCTTGAGCCAGTCGTAATTTCTATCGAAGACGCTATAGAGCATCAGTCTTTCTTTCCTGGATATCCCCGTAAATTTGAAAAGGGAAACATCAAGGAAGTATTCGAAAATGCTTCGCATGTTAAAGAGGGGTATATAAGAAGTGGGGCACAGGAACATTTTTATTTAGAAACAATATCAGCCTTCGCTTTTAGAAGGGAAGATGAATTAGAAATCATATCAACTACTCAGAATCCAGGGGATATAGCTGTAAGTATCATAACGAAATACATTTATGAAATATTAAAAAAAATGAATGAAAATAAATATGTTCCTTTGTTATTTTAGCATATAGTATCAGAAACGCTTCGCATACCAAGTCATAAAGTGGTCGCGAAAGTTAAAAGGATCGGTGGGGGTTTTGGAGGAAAAGAAACTAGAGCAGCTTTATTGGCTATTCCTGTTGCAATAGCCGCTTATAAACTGAAAAAACCGGTTCGAGCAGTTTTAGATCGAGATGAAGACATGCAAGTAACAGGCTATAGACATCCATTTTTAACAAAATATAAAGTTGCCTTTGACATCGAAGGAAAAATTTGTGGTGTTTTATTTAACTTTTTTGCCAATGCTGGAAATTATATGGATATATCTTGTGCGGTAAGATTGATATTAAAATACATATTATATAGATTAATTTTACTTATTTATGAACTTAGTATTGATAAGTGTGACATATTTCAGATGATCGATCGAGCCCTAAATCACATGGATAATTGCTATTACATTCCAAATATTGAAATTAATGCTTATTTATGCAAAACTAATCTTCCATCTAATACAGCTTTTCGTGGATTTGGTGCACCTAAAGCAATGCTAGCAGCCGAATGTATGATTAGAGATATAGCCACAGTGTTAAATAAAGATTATGAAGAAATTGTTAGGATCAATCTATATAAGGAAGGAGATCTTACTCATTATAACCAGAAATTAACATATTGTACGTTGTCAAGATGTTGGAATGAGTGTGTGGAAACATCTAATTATAAATTAAGAAAAGCCGCAGTAAAAGAATACAATAGGTAGGAATTATAGGATTTTAATTTTTAATCCTAAAAGAAATTAACAACTCTGAAATGAATCCTGTGTAACATCTACCTATATCATTGTTACAGGTGTAATAGGTGGAAAAAGAAAGGTATTTCTTTAGTACCGACAAAATACGGAATTTCTTTTCAGAATGACGTTTTGATGCAAGGAGGAGCTTTACTTATGATCTATAACGATGGTTCAGTACTTTTATCTATAGGTGGCATTGAAATGGGACAAGGTCTTTTTACGAAAATGACACAAGTTGCATCAAAAGCCCTCGGTGTGGATATTAATAAAATATATATAAGTGAAATGGCAACTGACAAAGTTCCGAATAGTTCCCCAACAGCTGCCAGTGTCAGTTCAGATTTATATGGCATGGCAGTATTAGATGCTTGTAATACATTAATGGATAGATTAACACCTTATAAAAATGTAACTGATAACAGTAAATGGGAGGATTGGGTGACAGCCGCTTACGTGGATAGAGTCAATCTTTCTGCAACTGGATTCTATGCTGCTCCTAAAATGAAATATGATCCAAAAACAAATTCTATGGACATATATGAATATTTTACATATGGCGTTGCATGCTCTGAAGTTTTAGTTGATTGTTTAACCGGTGATCATCAAGTACTAAGAACAGATATAGTAATGGATGTCGGTGAAAGTTTGAACCCCGCAATTGACATTGGTCAGATTGAAGGTGCTTTTATGCAGGGATACGGGTTTTATACATTGGAAGAAATGCTATTTGCACCAAATGGAGAAGTGTTAACTAAGGGTCCAGGTACATATAAGATTCCAGGTTTCTCTGACATTCCCAAGGAGTTTAATGTGTCTTTACTGAAAGGTGCCCCTAATCCAAGAGCTGTTTATTCATCGAAGGTAATATATTATATTATTAAAATACACATAAATATAATGATTTTTTGTAATGTTAATTTTAATATTAATATTGGAATATTAATTCCAATTATTAATTTTGTAACTGCGAACTCTTTTGAATTACTTGAGACACTGCAGGAGATTAACCGTTCGTAGATGTGATTACTGTAACAATTTTTGTTGGACACCACACCACTATATGTTGCACTTCGTAATGCAGGTACTTTATTGTCATGCCTGTTTCGGATCTTCTCTTTTTTCTCTTCGAAACAACGACCAAAAATAGTCTTTACCATTTCTGGTTTACCAACGAGTAATCATTGCGAGTCCACCTGCCTGCAAATAGTTTAAATGCTGCGGTTTCCTCTTAATTGTTTGTTAATTTTGAGTGTTAGTGTAAAAAACTATGAGTTTGTTGATAAATCTCTCTATAGGAAGATGTCAATCATAAATAATATGTCAAAACCGCATTATATTCAAAGTGAAATATCTTTTGTGTAGTTATTTTATTTTGTTACGTGAAAGAAGTATGAAATCTTACATGCGTATATAAATAAATGCATACACGTTTTTGACGATTTAGTTTTGGACATAATTATTATCTCGTCCAAGCGAAAAGCACGAGACGTGTCGACGGCGCGATTCATTATAATACGTGTAATCTTTTTTTTTGTTCTATTATTGTAGCACAAACCAAATTTTCTACACCTCCAAAGAGGTGACTGGAATAAAGTCAATTGAGGACAGTATTATAATTAGCCTTGTCGACCACCTCACTTGCAATGTAGTTTCGGCTCCTTGTTTCTTTTAGATAATCCTTACGTGGTCCATAAGTTAAAAATGAACATGAAAATTGTTCTTGCAACTCAAATATTTTCATAAATTTCAAATATTTAGCCAATCTTTAATTCAATAAATTTAGTAATCTGGTTTAAATCCTGGTACAGATACAGAGACAGAGTCAGTCAGTCTCGTAATTTTGACTGTAAATATAAAATATATATTTTGACGGTTGCGTTATAAGTTCACAGGCTTTTGCTAATGTTTTTCACTTTAGGTAATTAATTTGCAGGGTTCTTTCAAAAGACCAATAGCCCGAATCGTTTATTTGACTTACATATTAAAATATGTAGAAAAAGTGCGAAAAGATTGTCGCGCTGTGGGAATCGAACCCACGTCTTCGGCATTCGCGGCCTGACGCTCTAGCCACTGAGCTAAACGGCTGATTGCCACAGCGACGAAAATCTTAAAGCATTCTTCCACATTGTTTTCTTAGCATTTGAAGCAATGCTTGGCGCCATCTATTGTTATATCCTTTCCAGCATACACACAATTTCGAATATCGTTTTACAACGATAATTCGAACGAGAGATGTCGCCATTGCTTTTTTAGAAATTTAAATTGTTTATAGTGCTAATCTTTGCACTTAAGATTGAACATTAAAATATGTAGAAAAAGTGCGAAAAGTGATGCCGCTGTGGGAATCGAACCCACGTCTTCGGCATTCGCGGCCTGACGCTCTAGCCACTGAGCTAAACGGCTGATTGCCACACCGACGAAAATTTCAAAATTTCGCACTTTTTCTACATATTTTAATGTTCAATCTTAAGTGCAAAGATTAGCACTATAAAACAATTTAAATGACTAACATATGTTAAAATTATAGGCAGTTGGTGAGCCTCCCTTGTTTTTGGCAGCATCTGTATTTTTCGCAATTAAAGAGGCAATAGCATCGGCGAGGTCGGAATTTGGGGCAAGTTTAGAATTTGTATTAGAAGCACCAGCTACTTGCGCACGCATCAGAATGGCCTGTGAGGACGAAATAACAAAGCAGGTACATACCTATTTATAAAGAACGTACTGCTTGGATCTAATGTTAGCGTAAGAACGCACTTCGATAAACCAAATAAACAAACTGTAAACAGGTCCCAAAATGGGGTACCATTTTGAACTAAAATTGGTACCTGCGAAACTTAGTACGTATGTACAGTACGTATGAAAGTTTACACATATGTTTTAATATTTCTGTAAACTGATTAGATAAAACTATTTCAATGAACTATCAAATTGGGCTAAATTAGAACTGGTTGTTTAAAAACACGCAACTCAGAATATTATAAAACTATATAAGTTTTGTAGACTGTTATTTTTTTTGTTTTAGGTCAAGCCTACCATCAAAGCTCGCGGCCAGCCATGGAATGTGTTACCATAAAATTATGACTTCATTTGTTTTAATTTACACTGTTGGCTAAATGTAAAAGTCACAATTCAAACCAAAAAGTTGTATGTGCACAAACGTTGGTTGTTTGATTTACAGACCCATAGGTGGTCAGTGTTTAATTAATTTCAAATGTTGTTATTTATATTTTTTATAATTTTATAATCAGTTATATTAAAATATTTAAAGTGCCTTTAGTGAAAATTTTATTATATAAAAAAACCTTAAGGCTATTAACAGGAGGCAACATAAATAATTTTTAGGATTCCGTATCCATTATTATTACTTTCGCGTTACTAATACTCCACTGACTCTCCATCTGTATAGTAAAATAGTTGAAATTTTGACAGATGATATATTTCTGATGCCGCTATAAGAACAAATAAGGTTCCCATACAACAGACATGATTTTTTTTGCCGTTTTTATAGATAATCATACGGAACCCTTCGTGAGCTAGTCTGACTCTTACTTGGTCAGTTTTATTTATGTTGTATTTTGTCCTATCCTTGTGCTTTAACAATAACATTTTGGAACTGTACGTGGTGGTGTAATACAGATATTATCAAAACATCTTAATTTCTCCAATTATAACCTTAATCGAACACCATTTATATTGCACTTGCGTGACAACAGAGCTGAAAGAATAAATTGACCGTCGATCTGTATAATCGCGCTAGTATTTTCTCATACAGTCCGCACACTGCCGTCCACAGGTAAGGGACAAGAATTGGTGATAGTAGATAGAATTAGTTGTACCTACTTACAACATTTTTATTATGCAATAACATTTTATGAGTATCTATGCAAAACTTTTGCAATATTTTGTAATTAAAATTATAATCTAATAAAAAGATGAATAGACAGCAAAAGTTCATACCATTTGTTAGTTTCAGTTCATTGTGTAAAAATCGTGAAAAGATTTTTTACATCAAACTTATAATGTTTTAGAAATACCATTTCATTGAGTGTATAATTACTGGTTAGGGTGTTATAAATCGGTTACCTACTTAATAATAATTAATGATTGTTATTTAATTATCTAATAGTTCAAATCTTAATTTCCTAACAAATACTACCTAAAAAAATAAATAAGGAAGTTTAAATTCAATAGTACTCGGTGTTTTGTGTTTAAGTTACACATAAAGTTAGTATAAATAATATGTATCTCTAGTTCTTACCAGTATGTTGTTTAGATGTGTACAGTACACTTGTTATAAGATATAGAGTAGAGTAGGTGCGTATGATGAGCGCGGGCGCACTCGTCGTATTATCAAATTGGTCGACCGTCTCTCTCATGTTCTCAGTGTGTCAGCATAATCAGTATATATCGAACATTTGCGTAAGCCGGACGGTACGGACGCGACAAAATCGAAATTATTGCAGTTTTCGATAAACCATGGGACAGCTAAATGTGGAAGAAGAGAGTGATGTGACCACGGTTTTAGTTTTTTACGTAAACGGCAAGAAGGTGAGTCGATGAAACTTTAGCCGATTAAAATAATTTAAAAATAACATTATCTGAAATAGTTAGTGGTACAAGGAAAACGATAAGCGATACTTGTCGTAACTTCGAGAGATGCTTTATTACTTTATCTTATACATATGTCGTCATTATGAAACTACCCCAATGTGAACGGCGAATACACTGTAACGTGCAGTTTTTTTAAAGAAAGCAACTTCGGTAAAATAAATCCCCAGCAGAGAAAACTAATATTAAAATAACAGAAAACATAAAATGCTTTTTGATTACGACAGTATCCATTATTGAATTGCTTTGGGAACAGGTTTGTAAACGTCGTGGACAACTCTGTCGAATATATAAGTCAACACCACCAGGTGCTTGATGTTTTTAAAAAGTATTTTCATTTACTTCTACTTAAACAACATTTTGTGATTTTTAACAATAAATTGAGCAAATAATTGTTTCGCAATAACTGTAACTATTGCAAAGACCGCTTATGATTTATAAAAAAAAAAATTAACTTGTTGTGAAACTGGGGCACATAAGTAGGCGTAGGAATTTCTAGCTTTGACTATAATGATTGAAAAATTTGACCCATATGAAGAAAATAAACGATATTCTCCGAATTGAAGAAGTTTTATAATTCCTTCCGATTACAAATTTCAAATCTAATAGTCCGAAAGTTATGAACGATGAATTGGCACCTCAATATACATAACTTGTCGAGTGTAGCGTCTAGTTCTTAGGAGATAGGTGCAAACAAAATTAAATATAGAATAATTTATTGTTGAATTTTCATCCAGTTCCAAATGATTGTCGACTGCAAGATATTTTTCACGTGAACTTGGACATGTTTAAAAGAAAACTATAAGCAAAGGTGCGCTAAGATATATCCATTAATGTATGTATGTGTATGTACAAAATAGTTGAAACTTGCATGTGAAGATTTAATGAAAATTTTTACGACAAGCGCCCTCAACTGTTGCTTAAACTTATATTACTGCACTGATAGCATTTTGTAAATATCCGTTGATAATAGACCAAGCAAGAAGTTTCAATGTTACATCAGTATCTGCGGTTTCTCGACGATGTTTTAATGATTATAGTTTTGTTTGCTGCATAAGACTACTGACCCGTGACGATATTGACCCGTGCCCTTTTTATTATCAAATTGCCTTTTGTGTGACAAACAGTATGATGTTATTAGATAGATTCTTTGAAGTAGCCACTTGTTCTTTGCAATTAAATATGGCGTTCAGCTGCAAAGTATTTTTTAACTTATTTACATAATTATCAATCGAATTTAAAAGTCAATTCAATTAATAAATGATAAAGCCAAATGCATTAACCACTTACATTGTTAGTCCATGTTGACTTTATATTATACTATTGTATATTTGTCGAAATACAATATAGGAGTATTATTTCATTTATTAATTGTGTTATCATCAAGGTGCATTGTTCGCTATTTAACCCAAACGAGTTTGATTCAAACATTTTATTATTGCTTGGAATGTTTTGCACATTATAATTTTTAATACTTAATTAAATTCCTTTTTTATTTAGTAATTTATTTCAATTACAATCAAAAATATCATTGAATTTATAAGCATCTGTATAGGTACGAACATATTTTATATTAAAACGTTTAGTATTTTTATAATAAATTTTTTTAAAAATTTCTACCAATTTAATACCCTGTCCAAATGTTAAGAGGAATGTAAACTAAATTGATTTTTTTTTTCATTTTTGTTACGTAGTCTCTGTATTTAAGATGAAATTTAAAATGTGTTTTATAAAAGGAAAATTTCGACATTTAAATATAAAATCGACTTTAACTATGAATTGTTTACTGGATTCTTTTAACGTAATAATCAAATAAGTGACACGAACACGAGGCGTCTATAATCCCCGACATAGCCGACCTACAAGGTGCTTAAGGGTGGGCGTACATGTCAATATGTCGGACACATTCTTAGCTTATTTGTATACTAATAAAGTCATCAATTATAATAAATATTTTAGTACACATTTTTGCACAACCTTCTGTAGGTCCGTCCCAAAGTAATCAACCGTTGTATTAGGGGTACCAGATAAATGATAAACATACTTTTCTTTTGTAAATAAATACATATTATAGATATGTAAACAGCCAGATACTGGAAAAACACCTTTCTTCACACATTATTTTTCCTGTAGTGGCGATCTCACCCACACCCTCCGGCGCAAGAGACAGATTCACTATCACTACCCACTACGCTACTAGGGTCGTCAATTCTATCAATCTACATATTTATGTAAAGTGTAATACTCGATTTATGTGTCTACGAGCTAATTGCATACTCAGTCAAGTTTTTAGTTTGCAACACAGATGTAATAATAAGACGGCTGAACTCACGTAAACCCGGTGTATGTACCGACTAGTTTAGAACTCATCGGAGGTCCTTCATCAGGGTGAGTGATAATTTTATTACAACACAGATGTTTGTGTATAATCGTATTGGAAAAAGATGAGCATTAAAAGTGATAATTAAAAAACAATAAATACTAAATATATGACTTACCCTAACTTTAATCTACACATTAGTGTAACAATATTATAAACTAAAGATGGCTTATTTGTTGAGAAAAGGACTTGCAGTTGCGACCCTAAGTAGTGGGTTCCATTCCAAATGGAGTGTACAAATGTATTCGTTTTTAACATTTCTTAATAAGGCTTACCACCGTACCTATTCTTTTTTCTGCCCTTACCCCACATAGGTGGGGTCGGCCCGGTACAGCAGATGTATTGGCTAGGTTTTTTACGACCTTCGGCATACATACCTGACGTCACAGTTATTTAGGAATAAACACCCCGTGTTTCACATAAATTTAGCTTACGCTATTACTGCGTCACATATATGGAAGCGGGGCCACGTGAATCCAAAGCGCCGTTGGTTCGATATAATGACCCTTCACTTGCATCTATTTGAATGTTCTTGAATACACCAGTGATTATCCTTAAACGGATTTGTATTGTCATGTACGAGGCGTTGGCTCTGGTTTCGTTATGTGGATTAAGCAGCCGCAGTAAAACTCTGGTTTACTGTCTCAGTCTAATAGTATGACTCAGCTAACAATTGGAATGTAGTCTATAAATACGTCGAAAGAATGAGGCCGAATTAATTTGTCGTTGTTATTTTCTATCGTTGTTGTAAATAAATTGAATTGGAACATATATGTTTGTATTACCTAAATTAGTTACGCCATGATGCGCCACAGCTTAAGCTATAAGGACATATCAAAATCATTTCGCTTAGTGCTCTGAGAGTACTGCTCTCGTACGGTGCCGACATCTCCTGGGAACGAACGGCTTCTACAGCCTAACACAGGCACTATTGGCTTCGGCGTCGGGGGTCGTGGGTTCGATTCCCACATCGGACAAGTATTTATTTGACAGATAATTGTTCCAGATCTAAGTATTTGTGCATCAAGGAGAGTTGACATCAAACAGTCAGCCGGTTGTAAAAACCTAGCCAAGACCCCACTCAGGTGGTAGAAGGACAGGACAAAATAAAAGAAAGAGACATAAGTACATCGATTTGGATTTATTTAAGAACATCGCTGATTTCAATAGTAGTTGTTATTGTAATGTATTTTTGAGGGATATTTGTACTATATGTTCATATTTTTATAAGTTCCACCCTTTATTTTGTAATTCTTACTTTTTTTTCTAGGTCACGGAACCAAACCCCGACCCACAATGGACACTGTTGTGGTATCTACGTAAGAAACTGCGTCTCACTGGTACAAAGTTAGGCTGTGCAGAAGGAGGATGCGGTGCCTGTACTGTAATGATTTCAAAATACAATCGCAAAGAAAGGAAAGTCGTGTATCCTTTTTAGTTCATTTAAAAAGTCAGCACAAAATACAACAAAAAGGGAAGTATGTAACTAGTACTAGTTATACAAATATAATGTCTATTGTGAAACTATTTAAATTATATCTCAATTTTCTTTACCTATATTATTCTTCCTTAGCACATTTCAACAGACACTTAGCGATTAACGCGTGTTTAGCACCTGTGTGTGCTATGCACGGCTTGGCTGTGACAACCGTGGAAGGTATTGGATCTACGAAAACGAGGTTACACGCAGTTCAGGAAAGGCTTGCCAAAGCACATGGATCGCAATGTGGATTCTGCACGCCAGGTATCGTCATGTCTATGTACGCTTTACTACGAAGCTGTGAAAAAATAAAATACTCTGACATGGAGGTGGCGCTACAAGGTAACTTATGCAGATGCACTGGTTATCGCGCTATCATAGAGGGATATAAAACTTTTATTGAAGATTGGGAAACTCACCGTTTAGCTGCTAATGGTGCTTTTAATAGTAATGGTGTCTGTGGAATGGGTAAGGATTGCTGTAAAAATAAGACTAATGCACTAGAAGACAACAGTGAAACAAAGTATATTTTCGACCAATCATCTTTCTTGCCTTACGATCCTAGCCAGGAGCCAATTTTTCCCCCGGAGTTGAAATTGTCTTCATTATACGATGAACAATTTTTGTTTTATCGGGGCGAAAACACAACCTGGTATAGACCAACAGATTTAAAATCCATATTAAAATTAAAAGAAGAATATCCAGATGCAAAAATTGTTGTTGGCAACACGGAAGTAGGTGTTGAAGTAAAATTTAAACATTTTGTTTATCCTGTAATTATAATGCCTAATTTCGTATCGGAAATGAATATCATAAAAGAATCTGAGACGGGATTAATTGTTGGGGCTGCCGTGACTCTTATGGATTTGGAAAATGCTTGCAATAAATATATTAACACGTTACCAAAATACAAAACAAGATCCTTGGCCACCATTAAAGATATGTTGTATTGGTTTGCCGGGAAACAGATACGAAATGTTGCTGCTATCGGTGGAAATATTATGACCGGAAGTCCAATATCAGATTTGAATCCGATTTTAATGTCTATGAAAGTGAAATTGAACCTTCTGAGTAAACAAGAAGGGCATCGTTCTGTTTTGATGGATGAAACATTCTTTACTGGTTACCGCAAAAACGTAGTTAAATCAAATGAAATATTGTTATCCATCGAAATTCCATTCACGTCTAAATATCAATACGTGAAGGCATATAAACAAGCTAAACGAAGAGAAGATGATATCTCCATAGTGACAGCTGCAATAAACGTAGAGTTTGAGGCTAATACTGATATTATAAAATATATTAATATAGCATTTGGCGGTATGGCTCCCGTCACAAAATTAGCAACAAAATCTAGTCGATCTCTTGTAGGCTTAAAATGGGATGAAGTAATGCTTGAAAAAGCCTACGCATACCTCTTAGATGAGCTACCTTTAAATCCATCAGCACCTGGTGGTAATATATTATATAGAAGAGCTTTGACTATGAGTTTATTTTTGAAAAGCTATTTGGCAATAGGAAAAGAAATATCAAAAGATTATTTAAATAATGATATTATTATGCCGTATTACAGCAGTGGCGCTGAACAGTTTCATGGAAAAGTACCAAAAAGCTCACAATACTTTGAATTAGTTGGCGATAAGCAACTCAAGAGCGACGCTGTAGGCCGACCCATACCGCATATGTCGGCATTAAAACAGGTTACAGGTGAAGCCATCTACTGCGATGACATGCCTTCCGTAGAAGGAGAATTATATTTAGCGTTCGTATTGAGTACTAAAGCACACGCGAGGCTGAAGTCGGTAGACCCACAAAAGGCGTTGCAGCATCCCGGTGTCGTTGCATTTTTCTCCGCGAAGGATTTAACCCCTGAGCAAAATGCAATCGGGCCGATATTTCACGATGAAGAATTGTTTGCTAGTGAGAAAGTTATCAGTCAAGGACAAACAATTGGTGTAATAGTGGCCCAAGATCAAGTGACTGCTCAAGCCGCGGCCCGAAAAGTCCACATTGAGTATGAGGAATTGCAACCAATTATAGTTACCATAGAGGATGCTATTAAACATAACTCATTTTACAAACAGTTTCCAAAGACTATACGAAAGGGAGACGTGAAATCGGCTTTTGATGATCCAAATAATGTTATAGTCGAGGGAGAGTGCAGAATGGGAGGGCAAGAACATTTTTACCTCGAGACCCATGCAGCTTATGCTATACCCAAGAAAGAAGATGATGAATTAGAAATATTTTGCTCTAGTCAACATCCATCTGAAGTAGCGGTAATACATTTTTCTTAATCACAAGAATTTATGTTATTCTCTTCCTCTTTTTGAAGTATGATTAATAAATTTCAATATTTTATGTACAACTTCATTGCAATATACATGCGTCATAAAAGTTTTTACCTTCATGTTTTGCCATATAAAATAAAACTTTTGCTGTATTATATTGTTTACCTTTCGGTATAAATCCAACGCCAGAATATTTTCACTAATTTATATAAGACGCAATCTTCATATCACATCTTCAGAAACTAACGAGCCACATTCTACACGTCCCGATGAACAGAATTGTGGCCCGTGTGAAGCGCATGGGCGGAGGATTTGGGGGGAAGGAGTCGAGAGGCATTTTAACGTCGCTGCCGGTTGCGTTTGCAGCACATAAGTTGAACAGACCGGTTAGATGTATGCTGGATAGAGACGAAGACATGCAGATGACCGGCACTCGGCATCCGTTCTTAATAAAATATAAGGTAGCAGCGAACAGGAAAGGCAAGCTTATGGGTGCTATTATTAACATTTATAATAACGGTGGATATTCGATCGACCTATCAGGGCCGGTAAGTTTAGACAGGCCTGTTTGTGCATAAAAACTCTGGTTTAGTATTAATTTCACGAATCCTATTTTTCAGGTAGTAGAACGTGCAATGTTCCACTTCGAAAACGCCTATTATATTCCAAACGTTGAAGTAACCGGACACGTTTGTAAAACTAATCTTCCCTCGAATACGGCGTTCAGAGGTTTCGGCGGGCCTCAAGGAATGTTTGGCGCTGAAAATATGATTCGGGATGTCGCTCAAAAGTTGGGAAAGAGCGCAGAAGAGATTTCGAAACTGAACTTATATCAGGAGAACTTTAAAACTCACTATAATCAAGTCCTTACGCATTGCACGTTGCAAAGGTGTTGGGATGAATGCATAGAAAAGAGTAACTATGCAGAAAGAAAACTGTTAATAGAAAGCTTCAATAAGTACGTACTATAAGTGATTATTATTTATATTCATAATAATGTAACTACTTGCTTGCTTATCATCGTTTCGCAAGAGTAAATCGTAAGTTCACTTTTCAAAATATGCAAATTTTACTTAATTTTTCAAAGAAACATTTGTGAATGTATAAAGGTACTGATGTTGACGACGGTTGCATAGCAAATTTTTATTTTGCTATTACTTCCGACTTGATCCACGAATTGTTTTAGAACCAAGGTAGACCTAATTAAAACAACTAAATCATTTTGTAATAGAGTTTATATTTCCTTTCCATGAGTTCTGTGACTGATGACATCATCATCAGTTGCTCTTTCCCTTTGAGTACCTTAAAAAAAGTGTGCGTGGTGAAGTCAGCGTAAATGATAAAGGTATAATTCACACCATTATTGATATTTTAAATTTTAAAGAAAGTTAATTGGTATTTTTATATTTTCATACAAATTAACTTTCTTTTAATTTTAAAATACATATACCTACCTACACCATCAACATAGATGTTTCTTTGATGGACAAATATTTAAACACAAATTTCTGAAATTTTAGATTTACACAGTGTGTATATGAATATTACTGTAATCAAGTATTATAGTAAATACTATTTTTTATAACACTTATCTTTATGAAGAGCAGTTTCAAAAGCAACAAAGATTAAGGGTTAATAAATGCTTTATCTTTAATATAATATACCATCGTTAAAATGAATAAATAGACAGCTACAATTGCAAAATGTTTCATGTAGAAGTAAGAAACATTGCTTTTAAATATAGGACATGTTCCTGGATAAATTTTGATAAGCGTTTAAGAAATGTGAACACTGTCAAATCTACACTTAAAATGATATCTTGTCATCAGTGATTGCAATGAAAACAATTAATTTCTTCATATCAGACTTTTAAGATTAATAAAGTATTTGTTTTAAGGCAGCACCGTTGGAGAAAGCGTGGAATTTCCATAATACCAACAAAGTTCGGGATAGCATTCACAGAGAAACTCTTGAATCAAGCCGGCGCCCTTCTCATAGTGTATGTTGATGGATCCGTTCTCCTATCGCACGGCGGTACGGAAATGGGGCAGGGTCTGCACACGAAAATGATCCAAGTGGCATCGCGGGCTCTTGGAATAGACGTGTCAAAAATACACATCACCGAGACCTCCACGGACAAAGTACCGAACACGTCTGCCACCGCTGCCAGCGCTGGCTCCGACCTGAATGGCATGGCCGTGCTAGAAGCTTGCGAGAAGCTCATGAAACGTCTCCAGCCCTACAAAGATAAAAATCCCAACGGCAAATGGGAGGATTGGGTTTCTGCTGCCTATGTGGACAGAGTCAGCCTGTCCGCCACCGGGTTTCACGCAACACCCGGCATTGGATTCGATTTCAAGAGCAACACTGGCAACCCGTTCAACTATTTCACGTACGGTGTCGCTTGCACCGAGGTGGAGATAGACTGCCTCAGCGGTGACCACCAAGTTATCAGGACCGACATTGTAATGGACTTGGGCGAAAGCATTAACCCCGCCATCGATATCGGTCAGATTGAAGGCGCCTTCATACAAGGCTACGGGCTGTTCACAATGGAGGAGTTGATTTATTCACCAACGGGAACGCTGTATTCACGGGGACCAGGGGCGTATAAAATTCCGGGTTTCGGTGACATCCCACAAGAGTTTAACGTGTCTTTGCTTAAAGGTGCGCCAAATCCTCGCGCAGTATTTTCGTCGAAGGTACGTTATTCCTCGTTGCATGTATGTTTCGGAATGAAAATTAAAACTAAAATATTTTATGACTAAAGTATACAATTTAATGTCCATGTCTAATATGTATGTAGAACCCGCGATAAAAGTGTTAAATCAAATTGATTCGCCACTCCATAAGCCGAGCCATTTGAATATATTAGAAATTCATCTACAATGGTTGCGTAATTGGTTGTGCATTTTGTTATTACTAGGGACCCACTCAGTCTTTAAGATTTAATCTTATCCTTTAAACGAGCAATTCTTCGGAAACGGCTCCAACGATTTTCATGAAATTTTGTATGTGCGTAGATTCGGGGGCAAAAAATCGATCTAGCTAGGGTACATTTTTAGAAAATGTCCTTTTATCCCTGTTTTAGGGAATGAAACATATCATTCGAATATGACGGTAAATTTCGCCGCAAAAAAAAGTTATAATAGCTTGGTCCGTAATCGGGCGGCCCCAAAACAGACGGCCGCGGTTCGTATCACGATCATTTACACACTTATTTTTTTTCTATACCAGATCATTGCTTTCTTTATTTTTAATTTTTTTGTCGATTCAGATAATTTTGTTCTTTTTTCACTTTTTTTTAAAGTTCTTTCTTTTGTGAAAAACACCAGTTCATATTTTCTTATTATTACGTCGGTAAGATCGAAAAATATTATGCATATTTCATTACTCAGTAATTTGTATCTAAATGTAATTTCCAAAATACACGATAAACCAAAAAAAAAAAAAAATAAACCGAGCAAAGCTCGGTCCACCAGGTACTATACATTATGTTAACTATAAGTTTTAAAACGTTCAATTGTCTTTTAGGCCGTTGGCGAACCACCTTTGTTCTTAGCGTGCTCTGCCTTCTTTGCCATCAAAGAAGCAATAAAAGCTGCCCGTGCCGACGCCGGCGTGAGTTTGGATTTTAAGCTGGACTCCCCAGCAACATCGGCTAGAATACGCATGGCGTGCGAAGATCATATCACAAAGAAGGTAATAATTTTTATTTTTGAAATTATACTTTATTAACCTTATTAAAATTTGTTTAATTCAATGCCTCGCCTTTAATTCAATGTACTCGAGCAACCTGAGTTCGATCCCCGGTGTCGGCACCAATGAAATTGTTAATTTTAAGTGCCGACTTATCACGTACGTGTACACACATTGTTTTTTATATCACAATGTTCGCAGAAATGTAAATTTAGAAAAGGCAACGACGGGATTGACAACGTCAGGGGTGTGCCAAAACTTCTATATAAATAAATCAATTCACGATGTTTTTACCTAGATATAGACTCGCAAATATTTATAATTTCTTTCTATAATTTTCTTTCAGTTACCTGTTTTGGATCCGGAGCGCTTTGTGCCTTGGAACGTTGTGCCATAATATATGTATACCCTAACTCTAAAAATAAAGATTTATATTTTGTGAATAACATTAGTATTTTCATTTTAAAATAAGAAACAGCGTTGAGTTTATATTATTTATTTAAAATCATATCTATATAATACAGCAACCGACGAATAAAGCATTTTTATAATAAATTAATAAATGATGGAACAGAAAGTATAATAAGTACTGCTGGCGTCTTCCATTTAAATTCGATTTATTTCACCGTAGACCTATTTTTAGAAAATAATAAAAATTTATGAACAGTTGGCAGTAATGACTTAACAAGATGAAAACGAGAAACAAATTTTAATAATTAAGGATGAGAAGAGATAATTTTATAAGTATAGAAGGTTCAGGTACAAACAAATACAAAAATGTTCAGGGTTTATATAAATAACCTAACTATAAAGATGTTGGATCATACAAGAGTCCATGCAGGCACTAGTAAGTTCTAATAGTGTACCAAAGTTTTGCACAACCAGTTCTTGATATTCAAACAAAAAGTATATAAATATACATATATAATTGTGCTATTATGTCAGAAAGGAAATAAAATAGTAAAATCAAAATAGGTATCAGGAACACAAAATAATGTACAAGCATACGGAGTAAAGGAAAGCTTCCTTATCATGTCCATTACAAATTTAAGTTCTGTTCATAAAAAAAATCTTAAAGACGTGATTACGTTTTCTTTATTTGGATGAAACAGTCAAAACATCGGAGGAGTTTTAAATAAACAAATATACTAACAAGTTATTGCTGACTTTGTGGTTCATAATTATTAAGACAAATTAACTTTTGTCTTTACCATTTTGGTTTCAATTTTTTAAAATTGTATTCAATTGAATTAAATTTTTTGGCCTATATAATATCATGTAGTTATCTACTTCAGACTAAATTCGTTTCACTTATCCGATTCCGATGAACAGCCGGACCCCGAACTGGGACCTGAAAATACAATATTATAAACATCTCAAAACACATATTATAAACATGCAGAAACGCTAGCACACACACGGTAGGTATTAAGCTTCCTTACTTAAAAAGGTATAAATATGCGCAAAATTTAAATTCTGCTGTGAAGCTAAGAGCAAGTCTGAACTATAGTTATCAATCTATTAGTCATATTATCAGTATATCAGAGGGGGCCCCTGATAACTATTTTTCTTGTGACCTATTTGTTACATAGTTATACTTCGCCTCACATAAAACGGAATGTTCATAAGACGTTAATTTTAATGGGTTTACCACACTCAATTTCCCTTCTGCATTCATGTTGTATCAACCTTAACTTTGAGATTAAAATTAAGGCCCCTCATAAGTAAAACGTATATCTTAATAAACATAAAACTTGAACACAAAACCTTTGTTGCTCAAGCAGTATGTTAAAAATATTAGAATAGGGACCCAAATTCTTTGCTACATATACATAATTCATTCTATTAAAATTAATTACAGGAAAGTCTTGCCGAAACAAACATCACGGAATCCTCTATTTTAGATATTGGTTAATGTCACTAACAAAATATTAATGCCTTTTCATTATTATAATTTCGTTTTTATGAAAAAAAAATTACTGTAGACACATAGATTGGGGTTTTATTGAAAACTATGGCATAGTAACTGGGATTTCAGATAGAATGTTTTGTAGCATAACACTGTTGTTAAACTGTGTGAAAACTTTTTGCAGTGAAATAAATATAGTTGACATCTATATTTATTTTATTATAAGCAAAAAAGATTTGGTTATACTTTTATGAATTACACATTACCATGTAACAAAGCGGTAAAAGGGCTGTCCAATAGAAACTGAAAGTTATATATAACCATTTATGTATGAAATAAAGGAACCCCCGTCCATTTCTTTTCTTTCTCAAATCTCCATTTTAAAGAAAATATTGTTAAGACAGAAACATTGTTAACGCGTTATATTGTGCTTACACTGTTATACAGGGTGGCTTTTCTAAGTGTATCCACTTTTTTTTATTATATTCTAGACATAAATAATGTTATATAAAAAAAATGATAAATATTTAAAATCACTTGTAAGTAATTAATAACATTCATTTGAACTTATCTCAAAAAGTGCGTGATTTATACGCAACTCATTTATTTTACGCGCGATCATTCATAACTAACACGCACACAAGTTCGTGCACAGTAAAATTTAGGAATTTACGAATGACTACTGCATTGTCAACACGTTCTGTTTTTTAGGGAATAGAATCGCATTTTTTTTAAAACTGTTTTTTATTTCAATAAACGATTATACTACTGAGTCTAAACCTCATGTGTAAATTTGGGCACTTCTCACTAAATCTCCCTGTATATTGCAGTTACGCGAGCCAAAGTTAAGGGAAAATTATATTTCGTGTGGTGCAACAAAATTAGTAACAGCATACCTGAATGCCTGGAGTATCTGGAACGGCGGCGAGGCTGTCGGGTGGGGCTGTCCGAGTTGTATTCTGTTTCCGTGTCGACTGGCCCGTTGCGAGTGCGTGAACTGCGCCCCTCCGTATACCTATAATTCGACGATAATATACAACAGTCAGTACAGCGACAATCACAGGTACAATCGCGTGCAAAAATCTCTTTACTAGTACCAATCGAAATGAAGTCAGCGCAAAGTTTATCACAATAATTTTTACACCGCGTTATATTGTTTATGGTTAATATAAATCGGTCAAGATGAAAAGATCTGTTAATGATGTCCACAGAAGCGAATGACAACATTGTCCACGACTACACATCAACGTGCCTTGCTATTACCCATCATAGACTATGCCGATGTGTGCTATACTGATGTCACCGAAGCATTTTTAAATAAACTTGAACGGATACTAAACCTATGTATACGTTTTGCCTTTGGAATTCGTAAGTTCGATCACGTGTCGCACTACCGAACTCACCTGAAGTGGCTCAATATACGGAACAGAAGGAATGTACACGCACTCACCATGTTATATAACGTACTGCACAACGATTGGTTTCCACAATGCCTCAGGAAGCGGTTCTCATACATACAGTTCGTTGGACATGAACCCCGCCAAGGTTATAATAAATATTTAAATACCGCCGCAGCCAGTCGTTACTAGAGAGGACCCGTCGATTGATGTTTTTGAAGCGCGTGTATCCGAACACTATTTACTTTATCAGAACAGTGGAAGAAAACGCTATTTAGCATTAAGTTCGCCTTTGTACAGACTTTTAGTACAACAAAGAATATACAAAAAAAACAAACGTGTTGAGGGGGTGATTCAGGAATTTTTATTATTATTATTTTATTATTTATTATTTTATACTATGTTTATTATTTTATTTCATCATTAGCGTCAGTAAGCAGGAAACGAGGGCGAATGGGAATCAATTGATATTACGATTCTTTGGCGGTAAAGACAATTTTGTTGCACGTTCTGTGATGTCAACTCGCCTTTCTCTCGATCGTCTCCTGGATCGGGGCGAGTAGGGCGAGCGGCGGCTGCGCGGCGAGTACCGCCTCTCCGGCGAGTAACGCACCGTCCCGGGCGAGTAGCGGCTCTCGGGCGAGTACCTACTCTCCGGCGAGTAGCGGCTCTCCGGCGAGTACCGACGGTCCCCGTACCTACGGAGCGCGAGTAAATTGTTAACTTCAACTCGTAGTGTACAGTCTTCTGTCTGTCTGGATGATAACTGACTTCTATGATGACTTTTCACCCGCTACGATGAGGTAACTACTGAGCACTGGGGAAATGTTAAATTCCTTTTGGATCCTAGTTAACACCCTCACAACGCGGGTTCGCGCGAATCTTGCACCTTACTTCTAATATCGTGAACTTTTATAGAATGTGATTATCAAAAATTCCTGTTTCAGAAATTTTAATTGGAAGTTAATGATTGGTTATTTTGAACTCTTCACACTTCAATTGTGAAATAGTCGTTGGTTATCAACTCACGAACATAGTAGAGGTCTATTTACTCAAGCCCACAGATTCTTAAATGAGTTAGTAAAATTTAGTTTCATATACAGCGTGTCGTTACCATCACGACAATAAATGAACACACGCATAACGCTACTTGCCAATAATCATAAAAAAATATTAACGTTAAACAAAATCCATAATTAAAAAAAAATATTTTTCAAACAAACTAATTAAGTAAAAAAGAAACAAAATTTGTAACACCTATAGAACTCGCGCCACAGCGTCGTATTACAAGCCTCTCCTTCTAATTGTCTCTTTTAAATTAATTCATCCCATTCATATGCTTTTGTGACCTTTACAAATGAACTTTACATTACGCTTTTATAGGTAAGTGTTCTAAAATTCTTTGATTTGGAAAATAACTCTGTAAATATTGATGGTTAAAGAATTTAAATGTTCAATACAACTTTAAAAAGTTATCCCCTATATGTGTGTTCATTTATTGTCGCGATGGTAACGACAAGCTGTATACACATGGGCACATTCTGACAAATGTTAATAAACCTATATTATGTGAAAGTTAATTCGCTAGCGAATCGCGTTTCGTCGAAGTATTTTCTAACCGAATCTCATAAATACTGTATACTACCTCGGCGGGTGGGGAGAGGGCAATCTCCCTAGTGGCGGTGGTCTTGGTAACGGTGGTAACAATGGCGGTGGCAGGAAGGCGAGTGGCGGAAGCGGTGGTAACACGGTGCCCTCTACGGCGTCCAATGGGGAAGACACTTCTGCGAAAAACAAAACATTCTAACTTTCAACTTGTCCGGAACAAATTGCAATCTTTAAAAAAATGGGTGCGTCTACGCGTGTGAGAAGTTATACTTCTTTGGCATCATTAAAAATAGTTTTAATTGCATGCAAATCATTAATTACAATAAAATAATAAAAAGGCTGGAAAAGGATATAAACAATGAAAATAATAAAATTATGAAAGCGCCATCTACATTCTTTTTTGAGAACTGCAACGGGCGAATATGATTGAGAATATGCTGCCATCTATAAAAATTAGCGGGCATCTTCAAACGTGTTACTTTTGTGTTACACTGATGCGCGCGAATCTTAATATTTCTCTTTCATCATTTTTCCATAACGCGCCTAAAGAATGGATGAATTAATGAATATAGGTACTTTATTGCACACGAAAAATAAAACAAACAAAAATCAACAACTTAATGTATAAATGATGTATAATGTATAACTTCAAAAAAATTCCCGCCACCAACAGCGATGTGAAAAAAATTACTTATTAAGAGAGAAATTCCTAGGGCTCTAGGGTAGAACGCCGTGGGGGTTTTAGTCGGCGCCTTCCTTGCCTCCGCGGGGGAGGGTAAAAAACAAAAGGGTGTGCGCCTTACGTCTGTGCGGCGAGGCGGCGCCGTCCGCCGTGCCGATGGCGGCGAGCTTCCTCCTAAGCGCGGCGGCGTCGTCGCGCGCCGCGTCCGCGTCCCGCCGCGCCGCGCGCGCCTCCAGCCAGGCCTGGTGCGCGCGCGCCTCCATCTCGCCGAGCGCCGTGCGCCGCGCCGACTCCGCCTCGGCGAGCTCCAGCGTCAGCGCGTCGCACTTCTCCCTGCGGCGGACCGCTCATCGTTTTAATTTTATGCACCTTAGATCTAGACTGTGGTTTGACTTTTTTTGTACGTGGGAAAATCAGACTGTGGTTCGACTTTTTTTACGTGGGATAAATCAGACTGTGGTTCGGCTATTCGACTGTCGTAGGGCGTCGCAACTCCAGCGTCAGCGCGTCGCACTTGTTCTTGCGGCGGACGGCTCATCGTTTTAATTTTATACACCTTAGATCTAGACTGTGGATCGATTTTTTTTTACGTGGGAAATATCAGACTATGGTTCGGCTGTTCTGACTGTTATAGGGCGAAGCAACTCCAGCGTCAGCGCGTCGCACTTCTCCCTGCGAAAGACCCCACGTCGTTTTGATTTTATGCACCTTAGATCTAGACTGTGGTTTGACTTTTTTTTACGTGGGAAAAATTAGACTGTGGTTCGGCTGTTCTAACTGTGGTAGGGCCACGCAACTTCAGCTTCAGTGCATTGCACTTACGCATCTTACGCGCGTGCATTTAATATGGCTGCGCGCCAAATTGTGCCTCCGTTGACTGTCGGAACGTAGATCTACGCCAGATCGTTTGTGATTAATAGTGAGCTATTTGCAACTCGATCGAGAAATTAGCGAAGGAATGAATGAACCGTACTTTGATAGCTAAAAGAATTGTTACTGGTAAAAACCTATTCATTCTTTCACGAGTATTTCGAATATCTCCATGTTTTCATTTAAATATTTGAATTACTGTTTTTTGTGCAACAAGTATCGAAAACCGTAAGTATTTTTTCTTTTCTTATTATTTAGTATATAAAACAATGATAACGTATCGAAAACTGCAATATTACTAATAATTTAAAGAGATACGAAGAACATAATATGTATGTATCCGTTCGTCATCTCTGTTTCATTTTCGACTACTGATATTTCGTAGTTTGAATTACACATTCTAATTACCTTACACATCATTTTGATTCCATATAGATACTAGCTGCTGCCTGCGACTAAGTCTGCGTAGAGGGGTGAAAATTTAGGGTTGTATGTATTTTTGTACGCTGTATCATAAAACAATAAAAACAAAAAATTTTGTCCAAAAATTAAAAAAAAATGTTAATTGTGAAAAACCCTTATCCCTTAGGGGTATGAAAAATTGGTAGTAGCCGATTCTCAGACCTACTGAATATGCATATAAAATTTGGTAAAAATCAGGAAAGCCGTTTCGGAGGAGTTCAAGTTCGAACCCCGTGACACGAGAATTTTATATATTAGATTGTAAATAAAATGTAAATTTGGAAAAACCTTTCCATCTAACAGAAATTTCGTTTTCAAATTGTAACGTATAAAAACTTGGAAATATAGGATGTTCATAAAAGTAATTTTTTTGTTCTCGGGTTGAACATTAAATTTTTTTTAATTGATTTGAAATTACTCAGTCGCTATAAAATTTAAAGATAAGGTAGAGAACATTTTATCCACTTAGTGTTAATTTACCTATTTTAATGAAAACGAACAAAAATATAATATTGGAAGATAGAAGGGTAGTAGCACACTGCAACAGTCTATAAAAGGAACAGCGCTAGCCATTTTCGGGGCCAATCCGTAAGTCGTAGGTGCCGTTACCTACAGCCCTGAACACGGCCAGCGCTGTTCCTTTTATAGATCGTTGCAGTGTGAAATTTAAATTTTTTTATTTTTTATTTTTATATATATTGGGAAAAAAGCAGCAAACGAGCAGGAGGCTCACCTGATGGTAAGTGATCACCGCCGCCCATGGAAATCTGCAACACCCGAGGGCTTATAAATACGTTGCCGGCTTTTTAGGAAAGAGTACGCTCTCTTCTTGAAGGTTGCCACATCGTAACGGTTCGGAAAGACCGCCAGCGGCAGCTGGTTCCACAGAGTGGTTGTGCGAGGCAGGAAATGCCTTGAAAATCGGGCTGTTGTGGAACGCCGAATGGACATCGAGGTGGTGTGGATGAAATTTTTGGTTTTGGCGCGATGTCCGATGGTGAAATTCAGACAATTCCTCGGAACACTCCCTGTGATAGATAGGTAGAAGATGCAGAGTGATCCAACATCTCTACGCACAGCCAAAAGATCAAGCCGATCGGAAAGACCTTGATCGTCAAAAACCCTAGCTGCCCTACGTTGGATGCGGTCAAATGGAAGAAGTTGGAACAGGGGGAACAGGGGGCTCCAGCCCAGAGGTGAGAGCAGTACTCCATGTGGGGCCGAATTTGCACCTTATTAAGGTTTAGGAGTTGAGCCGACGTGAAGTACTGTCTCGCCTTGCTGAGCACACCGAGCTTTTTTGAGGCTAATTTGGCTTTACTTTCCAATTGACCGCGGAACTGGACATAGCTTGAGATTTCGACGCCAAGTATTCCGATACTAGCTGTGGCAGACAGGGGAGTGTTCTCAAAATGAGGAGTCACGACAAATGGGGAATTTTTAGCGGTTAAGGCGCAAACTTGTGTCTTATTGGGGTTGAATTGGACTAAGTTTAGTCGACCCCAGTCTGAGACTTTTGTTAACAAAGTCTCGACTTCAAACAAAAGTTTGTTCCGGCTCGTGTAGACCTTTTCCCGAGAAATGTTAGCACGGCCAGTGTACGACACATCCACAGTGCTATCATCCGCATAGCAATGAACGCTGCTGATTTGCAACAAACCATTGATATGCAGAAGAAACAATGTGGGAGACAGTACGCAGCCTTGTGGAACACCAGCATTGACAAATTTAGGATCAGAGCATGCACCGTCGACGACGACCCTGATGCTCCGATCTGCCAAAAAGCTGGTGATCCATTTGCATAACTTCCCGGGAAGCCCATAGGAAGGCAGCTTCTAAAGAAGTACTTTGTGCCACACCCGATCAAAGGCTTTCGCTATGTCCAGACTGGCTGCAAGCGCCTCCCTCTTGCTCTCAACTGCTTCTGCCCGTCTGTGTGTCAGGTAAACTAGAAGATCACCGGCTGACCGACCTCGACGAAAGCCGTACTGGCGGTCGCTAATCAGCTGGTGCTCCTCTAGGTACCGCAGGAGCTGGCAGTTAATGATGGTCTCCATTATTATTATTATTATAGGCCTGTAGTTGGACGGATCCGAGCTGTTGCCTTTCTTAGGGATCGGGTGCACTAAAGCGGCCTTCCATGATTTCGGGAATACGCCTAGAGTATAGGAGAGCCGGAAAAGACGCGTCAAAACCGGTGTAAACTCCGGAGCACATGTCTTCAACACGATCGGAGGGATGCCATCGGGCCCACTCGACTTATGAATGTCCAAGGAAAAGAGTGCTCTGCGAACTGCACTTTGCCGAAATTGAACCTCCGGCATCGTAGCATCGCAACGCGGGATTGTTGATGGTAATTTTCCTCGGTCATCCAAAGTCGAGTTGGACGCGAAGAGAGAGCCCAGAAGATCGACTTTCTCCTTCGCGGCATGGGCCAGCGAGTCATCCTCCATGTGCAGGGATGGAAAAGAAGGTTTACAGAAATTTCCCAAGACAGCTTTGGCGAGAGACCAAAACGCACGTGTTCCCGTTGGGAGACGCGCCTATCTCTCGCCAATTCTGCGAATGTGATCCGATTTCGCCTTAGTATTGCTAAGGCGAAATCGAACACTTTTGAAGGACCTAGAGGCAGAGTTATACTTCTTTTTTAAAGCGCTGGTTTTTACATCACTTGACGTCGAAGCATCAGCCCAAGCCTGGTAGCAATCCCGCTTTCGGCGTAATGCCAACTTACAGGAGCGACCAAACCAAGGCTGCGACTTGCCACCAATGGGCACTGCAGAGAACGGAATAAAGAGTTCCATACCTTGAAGCACCACATCACAGCACTGAGTCAGCAACGACGTCTGGGTCATCCGGCGAGAAGCAAATCCAAGCCCCCATGGGTAGGACGCAAAGAATGACCGCATCCCATCCCAATGTGCTGACCTGTAATGCCATACGCGGCGGCAGCTCGCAAAGTGAGGCCGTGTTAAGCGCGTTATTGGCACTATGCTCCGGACAAGACAGTGGTCCGACGAGCCGAGGGGAGGATCGACGGAAACCAAGTATCCGTCCGGATGAGAGGTCAACAGAAGGTCCAACTGGGAAGGTGTATGATCCTCCACATCTGGGATTCGTGTTGGCGAGGTAACCAGTTGTGTCAGATCATATTTCAATGCGAAATCGTGAACAGATCTCCTCGCGTAGTCGGTGGTACGAGATCTAAGCCACTCAGCGTGATGAGATCTGCTGCAGCACGGAATCTGTAGCCATTTGTATGTGCCCAAAGAGTCGGTCAGTTTCAGCATTACCGCTATGGGACCTGTATGGGACGCGTAGATTCGCGGATGGTCATCGCAGTCTACGCGTAGCCAGAGTATGGATAGGTCCCGCCCTTCAAGAGTGTCGAGGCGACGAGAGCATATAACCTCTCTGACGTACACGAACACCCCGGCCCGCGGCACAAAGGAATGTTCCAGTTTATAAATTTTGTGCCCTCCTGGGGTAGAAAATTTAAATTTCGCGCAGACATTATTGGAGAGGAATGGGGAGAGGGCGTCCGGGACTCTCGCAGGCCAAACGAAACGCGACAGCAAAGCTGCCACTTGACGTCGGTTTCTAGTGAGAGAGTGGTTCTTCCCCGAGCGTGCCGGCCCAATTCGGCTGCTACCCGAAGGTGCGCAGCATGGCACTACCACTAGTTGGGTTGACTGGCTGCACTGGTGGAATAATCTGTCACTAGATTATCCCACCAGCGGGCGATGGGGTCCACGTCCCAACGCCAGAAATTGTTTATATGCTGTAAAGGATGGAAGAATAAATACACCAAGCTTTGCTTGGAATGCGAAAAAGCAATGAAGATTTTTTTTTAGTTGATCCTGTGTTGTAAGTACGTTTTACAAACATAAATTTCAACTTTCGCGGACAAACACCCAGATGCGAAACAACTATCTGTGGGTCACACAAATAGTTGTCCCGTGTGGGAATCGAACCCACGACCCCCCACGCCGAAGCCAATACCTTGGCAAATTAATAAAATCTTTTTTACTACAAATTTTAATGTTTCGTCTTAAGTGCCGAGAATAGCACAATAAAAAATTTACTTTGAATTATTTTTATTGGAAGTAGGAAAGAAACTTACTTGAAAATTGAAACATCCGGTATAGTCAGTGTCGGAACGTAGATCTGTGTTCAGACTGTTGTGTCGGAACGTAGATCTGTGTTCAGACTGTTGTGTCGGAACGTAGATCTGCGCTACTAACGCCCCAATAAATTATGATATTTGTACTCAAATTTCTTAAGTTTTATCAAAGAAATACACATTTCATTTATATTTATTCAAAACAACATGTATTCTGTTTTCATAACATGGAAATAAAAAAACTAAAACGTTTATCATGAATTACTTATTGATATTTTTTTTTAGGATGTCGTATTTATTGATAGCTTATAGTAAGAATTGCTTCTACTAAACAATACATATATTCTACAAAGGCAAAAATGTAATAATTGTAAAGTTAAGCCATCCATATAGCTTTAAAATAAACCTGAATCATATAGATTATGGTTTTCACTACAAATATTGTTCCGAAGAAAGACGCAGTTGCATAATTGCGCGATTGTTTTTCACCGACAGACGGCGCATTTTTCATAGTGCCCTACCCGACAGACCAAAGTTTAATTATAGTATCACCATAAACCACAAAAAGAAGACAAAAAAGCAAGTGAAGTACACAGTTTTTGAGATTTTGTGAGGATATAGAGCGTTTAGTTCTGTCGATCACAGCGTCTGATCGCGTTACCTAGAAGGTTCAGGTTTGAACACTGCACCGAAAATTTTTCGCCAACTAACTGACATTGCATATACGTGTTTATACTTACTTATATCTCTGTAGTTCTTGTTGAAGAAGTTCAATTTTCTCTATGGTGCTTGCAGATTCGCCTTGCTTGCTCAGCCACAATGATTCTTTAGCACTCAATTCCCTGTAAGATAGTAATTGTTATATTTTATAGCAATATTCTAGTGCAAGTCTTCGTAACGGTAGACATATATCCGCTTTCCACTCTCTAATCACTCACTCTGCACCGCCACTTCGCTACAATCTCTTAGATAACACCTACCTACGACACTTACCTACGACATCTAGTTCTATAAACGGATATATTATTATATGAACGGATATATAATGTAGATACAAATTACATCACTTTTTCCATTAGAAAAGTGAAAGAGCTTAAAGTTGACATGTCTGTGATTTCATAATAAATACCGAAATTTAAATTGAAATTTATATCATACTTTATCAATTATCTTTTATACTTTATCTTTATTAAGTATCCATTTTTAGAACTTTTTCTGTCCATCTATCACATCATATTATGATTTTGTCTCTAGTTCAATGGATTCCAATGAAAATTAGAGGGTTATTAGGGTTCCGTACCTAAAGGGTAAAATGGGACCCTTTTACTAAGACTTCACAGTCTGTCTGTCACCAGGCTGTATCTCATGAACCGTGATTGAAAGACAGTGTTAACAAATGATGTATTTCTATTGCCGCTTTAACAACAAATACTAAAACACGAAAAAAAGATATTTAAGTGGTAGCCTCACTTAAATATCTTTTTTATACAACAATCAATGTTGTAGAGATTTTTTAAAATGACGTCAATTGAATTGAGTCGAATTGAGTCATCTATGAAGAAAAACTTACATAATCTCATAAGTAGACAATGAACTTTTAAGAGATATCATGAGGATATAATAACTCACTTCATAAGTTCACTTTCTCGTTCTTGGAAATATTTACCAAGAACCTCAAGCCTTGTGAGGGCTTCTGCTGCTTGTTGGCTGGAAGTACTATATGATTCTTGAGCACTCTGCAGTTCTTCTGTGAGACGAACTCTTTCTTTGTGTTCTATCTGAAACCGAAATACATCGGTTGTTAAGAAAAAAAAACTTGAAAATCAACTAGACAATTTTTCTAAATTTATTTTAACTTTTGCAAGTTGTAAAATAAACTTAAATCAATATGTTTGCATTATATTGTATTTTGTGTTATTGAATTTGTTTGCATAAAAAATTAAACAAATGAAATGAATATACTGAATGCATACATATGACATGTTACTATAAATACATTACCTCATATTTATTCATATATGACTGCTTTTCTTCTAATGCTTTAGATAATTTCGCTTTAATTTCAGTGTGATCTATAAGAGATGCGGTATCAACGTTTGATGTAACTCCATTCTTCAGTTCTATAATAACATCCTAAAATAGAAGTAGAATTTTAAGTATTATGTATAATAAAAAATATAAATGAATTTTTTTACATTAAATTAAAATAAAATATTTTGGATAGGAAGACCATCTTTATCTATAAAGGGTGAAGTTAGCCTTTGAATAAAAAGAAAAAATTCATATGGTAAAAAAGGTTGATCAAAATAAGTCCTATAAGAAAGTTATCACCAAGCAAGCCATTGGGTACTATAGTAACCTGAAATTATGTAGTTAATTCCATTCAATATATTTAACTCTCAAAATGATTATCAGAACCCTAACCTTAAGAGCTTCAATTTCATGTTTTTGTAAGGCAATTGTGTTATTTGCATCCAATAATTTCTTGTTGATTTCTTCAAACTGTTTCTTCTGTTTTTTGAATTCTTCAAGTGAAGTCTCCGCAGAAACAAACTTTAACTGGAAGTTGTCTCTTTCTCTACTAACTGATATTAATTCTTCTTCAAAAGCCTGAATTTTTCCTGTAAAATGAAAATTGATAATAATATAACCATTATTTTTGTATGGGAGAAATTGGCATATAAAAAGATGACACTAAGATGATGCTAAGTGACAATCAAATAAAAAGACCCATAGACAATCACAACACTAGTGGGGTGGCAGTCACATTGTCATTTACAAGAGTGTGGATTCTGGTTTCGACATACAACAGACAAAATCCGAAATTATAAATACTTTTATTTTATGCAGGTTTTCAGTGAGTCCATGGTACTCCTTCAGACAAGCTTTCCCATTTGTGCAACAGCAGAAGCTATTGTTTGTAGTTTAATGCAATAGCAATTAAATTACTTGAATTAAAAATTTGATAAAACAATAAGATAATTAAAAGCAGGCAAAACACACATAATCAACTAATACAAATAATTAAGGTATGTGTGTACCATTTAGTTCTGTTATTTGCTCTTCGGAATGAGCTCTCTCCGTCAAGAGTTCACTAAGAGTATTTTCTACCTCACTCAGTGTATTTTGTAACTCGCCAGCTGTGTTCTCTGACACTCTAAGAAGTTTCTCATTGTCATCCAATGACTTTCTTAGTCTCTCATTCTGTGCTTTCAGTTCATTGATCTCTTCTTTTAGTGATTGTACCATATCATCCATTCCAAAGGAACTGTCTTCAATGCCAGTCAATTTATTTTTTGTATTGGCAAGCTCCTCTTTAAGAATCTCACATTCCTGAGAAAATTTATACTTTCATTATTTATTTACCAGTTTCATAAAAGAGAGATATTATTTTAAAATCAAAGTAAACCTTACAACCAATAAATATTTCAATTTCAAATGCAATTTATTATATCTGTAGTTTATTTACCTTTGTGCTGAAAAGTAAATCTCTCTGCAATGAATTAATTGTACCAATAAGTTTTCCATCTTGCATTTTATTTTCAATGTAATAATAACCTAAAGTAAATAGTAGTACTGCCCCAGCAGTTGTTAAAAGGAATGTTAGCAATCTATATTTCTGGCTCAGACTTTCACCATCACAATATTCATCTTTGAAACATGTCTCTCCTGCAAATTTTAATTTCAATTAGTTACTTCAGTTAAAAAGACTATTAATGCTTTGCAACATGCTCATCAGTGAAGGAAAATTTTGAAAGGGAACCTGCATATTTTTGAAACAATATTAATAATTAAAAAAAAAAAACATTTGGAAGCTATATAATTTTTGGCATTCTGGAATCTGGCTTGCATGGTGGACTGTGGGCTATGTATGTAACACCCAACATACAGAGGAGGCATTTGCCCAGCGGTGGGACATATACTGTCTATAACTTTGCATTTTTTGGGTTTACAAGTATATATAAATCTATATAATTATATTATAGAAAGCTTGAAAAATCCAAAAGTGCATGCCTCATACTACTCACTTAATTTTTAAGAAAAAGAAACAAGTTGTGCAATTAAGATCTTTGTATTATTTTTGTTGGTCTCCTGGTCTCAATATGTTCATTTCTTCGGAAGTTATTGTTACCACCTCGTAAAAAAAATCTGGACAGCCACATAATTTTTTTTAAGTTTTGTTTTAAAATAATCAACTAATTGGATTTTTATGGAATATGAGAGAGATTTTTTAAGATATTATTTTTAATAAGCACCAATCTGTTTTGGTTGAGGCAATGTAAGTGCACAAAATTGATTGACTGATGTGTCGAGAGTTATTAACTGTTATTAACTAAAAATATTTATTAAACTTTTAGATAATTTAAAATAAAAAAAAAAGCAGTAAAGATTTGCATACCAACAGATGCAAATAGTGCTTTTGTTTCTTCATTGGTACCCATCACAGAGTGGTAAGTTGATAAAATATACTTCAAAATAGAAAATTCTTTGTTATCCGATTCAAGTGGGGGATTTATATTCTCGTTGAATATGTTTTCAAAAATAGGTGGTGCCTCTGTTGATGATGGCAAGAAATCGGCTATTGTGGTATACATGTTTGATAGAACCCCTTCTGAGTTTTCCTCAGTTACTGATGGTGTTTCTGTAGTCATTGCATATAAGTCTTCAATTGTAATTTCTGTTGGCGATGTGGAAGTATCCATGTTTGGGCTTAATGTAGCATCTTCTAAACTCATAGATGATGGATGTCGATGTTTTTCTTGTTCGGTAGCCATATTCTGGTCGTCAGTTATATGTTCAAATTTATTTTCAACATTTGATATTGGTGGCAAAGTATTTGGCTCTATAGTGCTTTTCATTTGTTCTAAAATTCCAATTGGAACTTCTGGAATTGTACCTAAATTTGTTGGAAGTGGTGATTGTGAATTATCATTCAAAACTTTTGGTTCCTGATGATAGTCATTGTTAATGGTGGGACTATTATCTTGGATATGAGGAGGAGCTGTTTGTTGATTTTCTGAACCAATATTAGCTTCAAAATTAGGACTGGCAGGCACATTTTGTTCCATCTGTGTTTGTAGGGTAATGCTTAACTGTTCAATACTTTTTACATGTTCAGAATTCAACTCTTCATTACTTTTTGCTGAATCTGCTACAGGTAATAATGTCTTAGAGTTAATGGTATTTTCAGAATGTTCAGTATTGTCACTAGAGATTGGCTTTTCACTTATTCCTAAATCATGTTTTTGATATGCATTTACAGGTTCATTGGTGGTTTCAGTTGAAGCCGGGTTGAGTACATCTATAATTTGGTCTCTTTGTTCCAAAATATTATTAGGTGCATTGTCTTTTAAAATTTCCTCCAGCCGTTTGTCTAATGGGTTTTCAACATTTGGTATTTGTGGTTTCTCCAATGTTTCAGAAGAATGAGGAGTTTCAGCTATTTTAGGTGGTTCAATATTCTGGCTAACATTTTCAGATGTATTTATCATGGTTTCAGGAAAAGACTTTTCATTATTTGTTACAGATTGTACATTATTGTCAACTTTAGCTTCAACATCTTGTATCACATTTTGTATTTTATTATCAGTCATTTGTATATCTGAATTTTGAGTGCTTTCTTTCTCATTATTATCATTGTTACTTACTATAGTATCTTGGAATTCATTTTTCAAATTTTCTACTTTAGGACTGTTATCTACAGCTGGAACAGTTTCAGTGTTAATGGAAAGATTGGCATTCACATTAGCATCAACAGCTGGAAGTGAGTTTACATCAATATAACTATTTGTCTTTTCTGACTCACTATTTGAATTGAAAGATTGGGAAACTTCTTTGGGACTGTTTTCAACAACTGGAACAGCATTGTTGAAATCATTGGAGTTTGTGTTAGTATCAACAGTTGGAAGCGAGTTGACATTATTATCACTGTTTCCATTAACAGTCTCACTATGTGAATTGAATGGAGGTTGGTAATTTTCTGTTACTTTGTTATAAGGTTGTTCTGTTGTACTTTCCTCCTGCACTATCGAAGTTTCAGTCGTGAAAATGGTTGTTCCTTCAATAACTTCATGAGGTTGTTGAACCTTGTCAGGTTGAACAATTTGGTTTAAATTATTTTCAATGGGAACAATAATCTGAGGGTTCTTTTCAATTATTTTGGTTTCTTTCAAAAACCTTGAACTAACAAATCCTGATCTGCCATTAATTTTGGCGTACCATAGATCCGGATTGCTACCAGCTGATTTCATATAAATTAATGCTTCAGAGTTTGCACGGAACGATATAAGGTCTGGATCAGCACTATTGTAGTTTAAAACAGTTTTGGCTTTAGAAATAGGTTCTGAAAAATATATAAGAAAATTTAAATACTTGAACTTCGTACAATATTAACAGATTGACATCTTTTATAGCCACTTACCAGTGCATTTTTCGTTAACACAATAGACTTTATCTGGCAGTCTACATTGAAACAAAGGTACTAATAACATAAACACGTAAAATTGTAAAACAATCATATTTGCATTATAATAAATGTTAAATTAAACTACAGAATTCATAAAATTTTAGAATCAAACGTTAGGCCACATCATCTGTCAAGTTCTACAGACAGATGCGTTCCATTTTGTACACAACAAAAAAGAAAGATTCCTCATTACGTTTATTTAATTTAATACTATTAATAAAATGTATAAAATCTTGATTTTATTTTAAATTTTATTCTCGTTTACAAATACTATTCTCAATAATATGTGATAATTCCAAAAGGTAATTATTAATATTTTTTTCTTAATAAAAGCATAATCGTAAAAAAATTATCACGCCTAAAAAACATGTATAAAAGCTATTACATATTTAAAAATATAGTGAAATATACGTGTCTATCTATGTAAAGATGTATGCTGCTGCCGGATTAAGCAGGCGTGGGGCACGTAGCAATTTTTTTCAAACAACCCTTGTTCTGCTATGAGTTTTAATTAGTATAAAGTGGTAAAAAAAAACAACACTCTTACCTATTTAATAAGTTTCACTCAAATAATTAAATTTTTCTTTTTTTTTTTTGGGCTGGATGAGCCACTGTTGGCCTTAGGGGCCTTTACAGTTCCTTGACTGGGGGAGTTTCTAGACCTAACATTACTACCATTTCAGAGAGCGTTGGCGCTGGGAGAAGAAGTGGCGGACGAAACGCCAGCAACGCTTCTATCATTAATAGGGGAAAACCTGCCAGGTACGTGGCGGAACCTAGTATATGTTTGCCGCACTCGCCGGCGAGTGCGGTGTGTGTTGGTGTGTTTCGTAAGTTTTTTGATCCTTTCGATGGCGATAGTCATCTCATCGTCAGGGAAGTCGAGAACTGTCGCCGTCTGCGGTAATCGCGGCGGAACGTATTTAACAGTAAAGGTCTGTAGGTGACGGCACCTACGATTAACTGGTTGGGATGCGCGGCGGCGGATTCGAAGTATCGGCGCGACGCCAACTTCAGGAATTGAGCGATGGTGGGCAACTCTAGATCGACATGTAGGTCGATGTTGCGCATGAACAAGGCTACTACCGTGGCTCTGCGCAAGAATCGATTCTGAATGACCTGAAGCCGGTGTATTTGCTTCGGAGCAATGTGAGAGATGACGGGGCTCGCGTACGTCATGATAGGGCGAACTACTGCCTTGTATAAGTTAACCTTATTCCGAAGGGACATTTGTGACGTTTTGTTGAGGAGCGGGTAGAGGCGACCGAGTACGAAGGCCGCCCGGTTCCTGACCTGGGTCACGTGCTGGGTGAATTTAAGCTGGGCGTCGAGGACGACGCCTAGATATTTGACTTTATTCACCCATGGTACTGGGCTGTCCATGAGTTTAACGGGGGGTGGATTGGGTATATTCTTTTTATGTGCGAGAAGAACGGCCGCGCTTTTGGCAGGATTGATCTCATTCCACCATTGCCGAAACCAGTCACCGATGGTGATAGCCGCAGCTTGAAGGCGTCGATGGATTGATTCGGGTGTTCTGCCTGTGGTGAAGAGACAGGTGTCTTCGGCAAAAAGGGCAAGTTCTACATCTTTGACACGCGGCATGTCATTGGTGTAGAGAGTGAACAAGACTGGGCCCAACACAGACCTTTGGGGCACCCCGGCTCGAACGGGATGCGTTGTCGAACACACGCCCTTGACGCGATAGCGAAATGTCCGATTACTTAGGAAGTCTCGTATTATGCATACGAGACGGTCGGGCACTCCGTACCCGTATAACTTGTATACGAGCCCGTTGTGTCAGACTTTATTCTCTTAACCTATGGTGTCCAATAGGGGTCTTAAGCGGACTAGTATTAGTCTTTCAAAGATCTTCCCAAATGTTTTGAGAAGACTTTTTGGACGATATGAGGTTGGGAGGGTGGTGGGTTTGGCGGGTTTGAGGAACCGTATGACATCAGCTACCTTCCATTCGGACGGGAAGAAACCTTTGGTTATAGCCGCGTTGTAAATTAATACTAGTATCAGAAGGATGCTTATGATGATGATTTACGTGGACGTAGTTTTTTAATGGTGTCGACTAGTTCGGAGCATGTGACCGGGGGAACGGAATCGCGAAGTGGCTCTAAAGCTTTCGTCTCTACCTCTTCGTTCACCTTACGGAGGTGTTCGGAAGCAGACTAGGTGAGGGAGACTCTAGGCTGTCAGCCAAGCATTCGGCCTTTTCTTCGTCCAGCATTGCTGGCGTACCTATCGGGCGGAATAGTAGCGGCATGCTTAATATCGCGTTACCCTTGAGGGATTTGGGAAGTTTCCAGAAAACTAAGTAGGATGGTTTTACTGAAGTTAAGGTGGAGTCCCGCGTGGGATGGTTTTACTGAAGTTAAGGTGGAGTCCCACCGTTCGTTTCGTGAGTCCGCTATGCGTGTTTTGACCTCACGCTGCAATTTACGTAGCAGTCTACGATTCGAGTCGGTGGGATATCTATCATAGGCTTCAGTGGCCGCATTCTTGCCTCAGCAAGTCGCGCACATCATCTGGCAGGGCCACCCGATTAACGACCGCTATTATAATATTTTTTTTGGCGAAATTTACCGTTATAGTCGAATAATATTTTTCATTCCCTGAAAACAGGGATAAAAGGACATTTTCTAAAAATGAAACCTAGCTAGATCGATTTTTCGCCCCCGAATCTACGCACATACTAAATTTCATGAAAATCGCTGGAGCCGTTTCCGAGATTCCGATTATATATATAGAAAAATTGCTCGTTTAAAGGTATTAGATAGATTTTAATTAAAAAAAAATGTGTGCGTGTACTAGCGTACACTCGTAAGAAGTGAAACTTTTTTATGACGTTATTTTTCAGAAAATAATTTACTATATGCAACTTTACAGAAATTGGTTAAATAAAGTTAAATTAGATAAAGTTTAATAAAAGGCTTTTATTATCATAGACATACATACAAATTCTAAAATTATTTCATTTTAGCTTTGTATAATATTTAGTTTCTTATTTATAATACATAGGTGGCGTTAGTAATAAATTAAAACACACTATGGTTTGACCGTTGTAATTAGTATGAGGGTCTGCAAAAATTGTTGATTAAAAAACTTGCAACGTGAACCTTGTTTATTTCAATTAACCTCACGGACCCAAAATACAACCGCTTTGAATTTGTACATGGTCCTTCGTTGCCGAATAGTCAGCCAGTGAGTAGAAGGCAGACATTCGACACGCGCCCGAGTGTTGTGAGTGAAGTTTTTTTGGAAAACCGAACTTGCGGACGTTGGATCGACGTCGCAACCGCAAGTTCCAGGAGCCGATCGAGGTTTCGAAGAGCATCATCGGTCAGCTTCAGATTGTGTCTTCGGTGGAAGGCGCAGTCAGGTCACGGTGGGCTGTGCCTGCCTTTGGAGAAGAGGAAGTCGACACAGTGTCGTGCTCTGAAGTATTAGAGCTAGCACTGTCATTACTACAAAGATTATTATTGAATTTCATTAATTGTAATAGAATTATTACTATCATTGATGTCGGTATCATAAATTTGTGTTATTAATGGCTTATGGTAACTGAAATACGAAATATATTGTTTACATTTTAGAATTAGAATTAAAATAAACCCTTTGATTTTGCTGATCACTTTAATATAACATATATATATATATTGCTATGAACACACAAAGGAACTAACGCCGTCTAGCGTCAACTATTAAAACCACTAAAGAATTAAGACGACATAAAACCCCATATTCAACACTAGATGGCGTTAGAGGAACATTTTAAGATAAGAAAAAGATGGCGCGTAACGCAAAAATGTTACACTAAATTTTTTTCCAACCCCGATAAAGAAGTTTCACTTCAATAATTTTTACTGCATACAGCGCCTTAAATCTAACTTATTTTAAGACTAACCACACTACTTGACACTAGACATAGACTACTACTAAACATTGTTAAACATTGTTATTGTACTTATGTACACTCTTCGGATTAGTTTGTATATCAGAAGCAACTATCGCGAGATCTTTATTAATTAAATAATTTTATAAAAATTGTACTTGTTTATTAATGTAAATACTCTTACTAAATATTAATTATTGAACGATATTTTTTTAACCAACTTCAAAAAAGGAGGAGGTTCTCAATTCGACAATTCTTTTTTTATTTGAAAAAGTAAACCAAGAGTAGTTTTACGACAATTTGGTTAGGTTCTGTTTATTGGATCCATGACAAAGTAACGGAACTTTTCAATACTTAGGAGCAAATTAACGATACTCGGCCGAATGTCTTATAGGCTAACCGGATATTTGAGACACCGATACGTAACGTACTGTCGTTATGGTCAAGTAATTGTCGTATTCGATTATGATGATCAATGAAACTCCTAAATGGCTGCAGGAAACGTGCGATGCGTGGCATAATTTCTACGTGTATGTAATCAAATTGCAATGCGCTTACGTTCGTTGCTGCATTGCATACCCATATTCAGACAAATTAGTTAGTGTACTTCAGATCAATTAAAAATCAAAAAAATTTGACAAAAAAAAAAAACGAACAAAAAAAAACCACTATTTCAAAACAACAAAACAACAAAAATAATAATTGAGTATTCTTCTACAACTTTCAATCAACTTTTTTCTACTCATCAATATGTAGGTACGATCATGTGCTTACTACTAAAAAGTCAATCAAATTATTGCGATAATATGATTTAGTTACATTTATTTTTAGTTTGAGTCGGTGTCAACCGAGTGCTCAAGAATACTAATTTTTTTACTTTTTATTGCATATTAATTTGTTTTGAAAAATTTTTTTTGAAGTCGGTTTTTTGTTAAAATGTTGTTTATTTTTCTTAATTTGTTGATAGCATTTCTGAAAAGCTTTATTAAGCTTACAAGTCTAAAAGAAGAATGTGTTACTTTGTATTGCGATATACCTACATAAAGGATTATAATTGTGTTTAATGTTCATACAATATTATAAACGAAGCATTTTTTGAATTAAAATGAAAAAGTATAATCTGTTCACTAAAAAATTCAATAGGTTAGAACCTATTTTGTATATAATTCAGAAGAAGAAAACACAGTAGGCTCCATTCAAACTCAGGGAAAATGTCATATTTGACGCAAAAAAATGTCTATTAAATCAGATATTTCCTTAATAAATTTATCTAAACAATTACCATTTGATATTGGTGAGAATATTAAATTTTCGATACTAAAGTTTCGATCCAAATATAATTTATAGTTTGTTTCTAATTTATTATTGATGTATTATGTGGCTATGGTATGTAGTAAAATTTATATTTATTTTACTAGCGGCCCGCCCCGGCTTCGCACGGGTAACAATACTTTTAACAAAAAATTTTAAAATTAAAAATTATCATACACACACATAAAACCTTCCGAATGTTTCGTCTGTGGTGAATAATTTTATGAATTTCTTAATCTTTTAATGAAATACCCTTGAAATTACGTCATGAAGATCGAAAGATCGCTGACCAGATATTGGTTCCGCTTTAATTACGGGACATTCGGGGTTACACGTAAAAGTGACATATAAGTCTGGTCTCCCATAGCTTCGGGCATAAATCATCGCATCTTTGGTTTTTTAATGCCGATAACTCGGAGAACCTGTAAATGAATATGACGTTGCAGATTACGCGTTGACCGATATTTGATGGGCCAATTTCTTGATTTAAAGCATCTCTAAGATGAATGTTTCACCAGCCCTCAATCTATGGTGATTACGACATCATATGTAATTCAATCTTTCTGATATCTTTTTGCCATCATATCGACAATGTATTGAATAAAAACCGGCCAAGTGCGAGTCGGACTCGCACACGAAGGGTTCCGTACCGACCTCACAGAAAACCGGTGTAAAATACTTTTACGTTTCGTCTGGTGAGAGAGGTAGCCGGGGCCCACTTTATTTGAAGATGGCAACTCATTTGCAACCCTACAGGTGTTGCAAATGTCCATGGGCGGCGGTTATTACTTAACATCAGGTGAACCGCTAACTCGTTTGCCACTCTATTACATTAATAAAAAATCATGTTTTAATATCTTTATTCAATATAGAAGTATTGCACTTAAATATTGATAAAAACACTAATACTGTGAACGTTATCTATAAAACCAGCAAAAAAAATCATGTCTGTTTTATGGGAGCCCCTCTTATTTAAAATTTTTGTTTTTTAGTATTTGTTGTTATAGCGGCAACAAATGACAACGAAATACATCGTTTGTGAAAATTGTCAACTGTCTAACTATCACGGTTCATGAGATACAGCCTGGTGACATATGGACAGACATACGGACATCCAGACGGACAGCGGAGTCGTAGTAATAGGGTGCCGTTTTACCCTTTGGGTACGGAACCCTAATAAGTCCCAGTAATAATGTAATGGATTAAAACAGATAGCTCTAACCATAAACCTAAATGCATAAAATGCAGTTTTATTACACACAGTACCTTGCTGGGGAATAGTCAAATATAAACAGTCTTCTCCTATTACGACTATTAAGAGATATTTTAGTGGATCATACAATCGGTGTAACTCAGACACCCTTTTAAGTTGGCCGTGTCTACCGTGCAACAGTATATCTCTAGGGCCTTATTAGGGTTCCGTACCCAAAGGGTAAAACGGTCTTAGTAAAAGGGTAAAACCCTATTACTAAGACTCCGCTATCTGTTTGTCCCTCTGTCAACAGGCTGTATCTCATGAACCGTGATAGTTACAGAGTTGAAATTTGATCTGGGTATTTGTTTCCCAAGGAGGCTTGACGTCAGGCAGGCGGCTGGTTGTAAAAATATAGTTGTCCGATCCCACCTAGGTGGGATAGGGGCAGGACGATGATGATAACTTGTATACTTGTCCCCCTATTTTAAAAGTTCACGCTAAACGAAATCATTTGAAAGAGGCTATTGCACTTTCGATTGTTGGTTAAAAATGTCCAGATGGTGAATGATTATTTATCAAAAGATTTTTTATTGGCTGTGGCGGCTCCTCAATATTGGGGAGACTAACTTTTCCAGAAGCACAGCACATACCATTTGGTTCATCGACCCATTTTTGGTAGAACACTTAGAGCCAGATCTTATTTATGGCTCCGATTTGGACAAAAGACTGTTGAGCTTAAAGCTGATCTGTTACTGTGAGCTAAAAGTCGATTACGAACTCTAATCGTTGACGTTTGTTATCTTTCCCTCTAATCTCGTAGGCGTTGGGAACGGTCAGAACTCGACTCCCTAGTGTGAATTTGTATATTTATATTATTATGCTCTTCAAGCCGCTGCAAACACTCTTGACTCTCTCCGACATGTAAGAATATTTTCAGTTTTCAGTAAAGATTCCTCATTACGACGTATTTATGATGCCCTCACCTGGACTAACTATTTCTAGATAGATAATAATCTTTAAAATGATAAAAAAATTAAACTTCCTTAGTGTTAAATAATTTTTTTTTTTTTTTTTTTCTAATTGTTGAACAGGAATTACCAGTATAAATGTAATTGAAAACTTATGAGAACTACTAAGTCAGTCACTAAGCTGTTTGGATAGTTAAATTCCAATATACTAACATTTTTAAACTTGAATGGAATGTCCGAATTTAATAATTCAAAAAGTTGTATAAAGATATTGAAACAGTCTTAAATATGAAGTAATTTATTTTTATAAGGATTAATACCAAGATACAAATAGAGCCTTTTCTAGCGGCGGCATTTCAACCAAAATTTTAAAATAAAAGAACACTTATTGTGGCATAACTATAATAGTTAGACATATGCTCTCGCGACACGTTTTGGACATAATGATGTTTTCTACAAATTCGTAGTACATTACTTTATTCTATCATCAATAGTTTTCGCAGCGCATGCGATGTAAAGAATATTTGAAGTAATTTTTGTACACTCTGGGTTACATTATTGAAGTTTTAGTAAGGATCCCTATTTTTTTTGCAAATATAATATAGCCTATATCAACCGGGGATAAGGTAGCTTCCCAACAGTGAAAGAATTTTTCAAATCGGTTCAGTAGTTTCGGAGCCTATTCAATATATACAAACAATCAAATCTTTCCTCTTTATAATATAGAAGATATACTTAAAATGTTAGCTTTAATTTCAATAGTGTAAATTATAACAAAATAATTTTTTCGAGAGGTCGGAATATTGTAACAAAGTATTTTAGTAAATATATAAAATTTATGAGTAGTAATAATAGTTATAGTTACAATATTTTCAATCGATATGATTCCATTGTTAATTCCAAATCAAGTGGGCTGCCTTAGGTAGACTGATTTATGATTTCTCTTCTATGAAAGAGTATGTATCCAACTGTTAAATTGAATAATACCCTCTCAAATTATTTAAATTTGTATTGAAAAGATAAACATTCATGATTTTCCTTCCCTATAATAAATAAACAGCGGACGTCCAACCTTTTGTTGACTAAATTCTCCACACTCGATTTAAGGCGTTAGTTTACCTATTAATAATGAGTCGAATAAAGGAATGGCACTATCTGTCTTATGTTTAAATTTAATAAAGAAAACGCAATATTTCATTATCCTGTATACGAAACAAAATCAAAAAACTTTTGTATGATACTGCGAACATATTATGATTGATCATTTTGTGGAAAACTATGGAGATAGGAACGCCTTGTGACTTTATTTCAGATGAATCATTAAAGAAGCAGTTATGCTTCGGGGAAACTTTAATAATAAGTTGTGGACACGTAGAAGGTCACCTAACGGATTCAGAATGTTCGACTTCCGAATATTCTGAAAGTGAGGAATTTGAAGAGCGTGAAGATATCAAGCCTTTCGAAATTAAGGATGAAATCGAAGAAAGCGTTAAAGATGAGTGTCTCGAGAATGAAGATAATTTTCAATTTTACTTTTTCCCTGATTGTACAAAACCTGTTGAGACTGGAAGTAGTAAAACCAGCCTCATCATTAAGAACGGTATGCCACAAATGAATCAAGTTAGACATCAACAACAAAAACATTGTACTTGTGAGGTTGACAAACATGGTCAATGTAAATGCTATATTAAAATACCCTGCCTGTGTGGAGCCAAAGAAACTTCGGAATGTATGTGTTCTAAAATAAATGACATATGTGCATGTAATGCTGGAAAACCGGATACAATATGTTCGTGTAAAAATGCCGATATATGTCTGTGTCATTCTGATGGCAAGCCTCGTTTAATTTGTACTTGCAATCAGATCGACAAACCATGTATATGCCATTCGGAAAAATTTCCATATCCCATTTGTGTTTGCGAGCATAAGCCCAAAGTGCGCCCAAAGTCTTCCTTGACATATAGCTATAAAATTGAAGGAGAATATGACGTCGAGAAAACTAGTTCAAGTTCGAATAAAATACCATGTGATTGTCAAAAACAGGAAACGCCCTCCTTTTGTTTATGTCAAGAAGATAAGAAATGCCCGAAGTGCATGCGAGATCCCTGTGAATGTGATGATCCTAGTACATGCGTGTGTGATCCAACAAAGGATTTGACTACTCATAAAGTAGGTGATCATAAACAAATATGTACTTGCGTAAATAGCAAAGAATGTTCTTGTGACCCAAATTTAGATGTCAGTTGCAAGTGCTCGTCTACAAATAAAGAGTGTACATGCGGCAATCCTGAGAACTGTAAATGTTTTAAAATTTGTGAATGTACGAACCCTTGTCTGTGTGACATGGAACGAGAAAATGTCATCGAGTGTACTTGTTACACAAATTCGGTTGAAGAAATTGAAAATCAAAATCGAGGTCAAGGGAAAAAGCTGAAGAAAGTTCGAGCTGGAAAGCATGGATATCGATGGTGTCGTGACGTTGATCCCCGCCACACGTATTTTGGTTATAGCTATGGTAGACATGAAAGAGTAAGTTATAAGGGGGAAGAAGAGAAAAAGATCAAGATTACAGATACCAAACGTAAGGAAGGCCTCGCTGAAGTTACGGACGCTAAAAAAAACGTTCCGGTTTTCGAGAAAAAGTTGGGAAAACTATCTCTCGACTGTTGTAGTGCTGTTGGAGGTCAGACGTTTTCATATAATTAACGTTGTTTATTAAAATCATTTAAAAATTAAAATACGCTAAAACCATATTTTTACAGGTATGACTATTAATGTTGAAACACTGGGTGAGGACAAAGGAAAATTCCTTGTTCAAGTGGTGTCACATTCGTCTAAGGAAGGTGCAAAGACTGGAACGAAATTAGTCAGTATTGTTGATTGTAGGCTCCATACCTTGGAGGAAAACAGAACAGAGTAAGTATATTATATTAATTGAAATAAAAAAAAAACATCATAAATATAAAACATGCCTATTAAATTAAAGTAACAGCCATTTCCTACTGCTGGGCAAAGGCTTAGTACAGGATAATAGTTTAACACGGGACCTCACTGCGGATTGACAGAGTTAATTGTCTTCAAAACTTTTTTTTTATTATTGTGAAAATATGCAGGTTCCTTGATCATGTTGTCTTTTACCGTTAATCATGTGATGAGTCAGCACTTAAAATAAGCAATTCCATTGGTGCCGTCAACGGGTTTTAACAAGCGCCAGGACACTGACCTACTACGGCCGACCTACTTCTAAATACATAAAACGTCTTTACCTATGAAATTACCGTTTTGTATGAAATAAGTTAAAGTAACTTTTTTATTTCTGTTATTCAAAGTAATCACCCATGCAACTGATGCATCTTTGCCAAGGCTATGGTAGTTCATTGATGCCCTATTTGTAAGATCAGCTGGTCTTAGGCAACAAACTCTTCAAAGGCATTTTGTACTGCATCTCGGGAATTTATGTTTTTTCCCCCGCTAAAAAGTTGTTGAAATTTTGTAAAAATAATAGACGGCAAGGTCTGGTGAGTATGGCGGATGAGGGAAAGCTTCCAACCCCAACTATTGCAGGTTGGAGACTGTCTGTTGTGCAGTATGGGGTCGCGCATTGTCGTGAGCAGTGCGGACGACCGATTGCACTTTGTAAAGAAAATTTCATGTTTAAAAAAAAAAAAATTTCAATTTATATTATAATTCACAGAGCCAATCAAAACTTTGTTTTGTTTGAACTGGCCAGTAATAATGAACGGCAATTTCATAGGTAAAACCTATTATTAACGTATGCTTGTTCCGATCCATAATTGAGCACTTCATATGTGAATGTTTTACGAAAATTATTATTCCGCATTGACTAAGCTTTGTGACGTTGCATCTATATACTTAAAAAGTATTCTCTTAGAAACATACGACAAATCAATTACATCTAAAAGCATATCGAATTTTTAAATGTTAATCATTTTGCTTTAGACAGTAGAAAAGTTTTATTTATATACTATGAAAAAAAAAAAATAGTGAGTCGGTACTGCTATATGAATACCTAAGTTATGTTTTTAATATTTTGTACGATGTAGAACGTTTAATGCTGCTGCTGACTTCATTTTATTGGCAGATATATACAAAAGAATGATAAATTTAAAGAGAAACGAAATTATATGGCAATTTGTGAAAGCGGTTATTACAATAAAGTTACCCGTATATGTGGGGACCGTCATTTAATAAAGCGGTTTTATCATACCTTTGAAGAAGCCCATAACTTTTTGTTGGAGGGCGCTAATATTGTACTTATGCGTTATGTGGGTCTGACTCGTTACAAAGGTTGTATTAAAACAGATACCGTTCTCATTGGTGGAGTTGTTTGCGAAAGTGTTTACGTAAGTATAAATTTATGTTAAAATTCACATTCAACGGTTTTATATGAGTATTAAAGCTAGCTTTATATCGCATATAAGAGCAAGTATTGAGCTCTTTTTGAATATGGACCGTTTATAATTTTTAAATTATTTTAATTTCTATGTTTTTCATAACTATCTTCTATTTTATAATGTTCTTCTATGCTTGGCGTTTTCGCTTGCGAATTCAGTATTCGTTATTTTTTTTTACAGTTTTTCATAAAAGTTCTTTGGGTCAAAGATACGAGAAATTAATAAAACTAACAATGTTGTGTTATTGATCTAATACATTATCGTAACGAGAAGTTCACTATCTGAATCAGAAATTAGTTTTCATGCAAAATAAGCCCTGAGCGATTTAATTTACCGCAACAAGTAACAGGTTGTTCGAGAATTTGCTTGTTCGAGAATTTGCTTGTTCAGAGTCGTTTTCTTGTCATGTCCGTAAATTGGCATAATAATGAATCAATCGCTTTATGAAAGTAAGGGGGAGGCTAATAAATATTGCAAATGAATAATTAATTTATTTCTTTTGAATTAGTAGAATATAATGAAACTACTTTAGGTTACTACTACTACTAAGTAGTTAATAATACTAAGTGATTTGGCTTTTTAATTTGCGCAATGACTTTGACTCAATTTTCAAGACTTTTCAAATGTCTTTTATAGCGTCAGCCTCGTATTAGCCGACTCCTACCACATTTTGGTTTCTAATAAAGTGTTGGAATGGTTTTCTTCCTATCTCCCCTCATATCGAGGGCGCTAAGAGTCTGTAAATGTCGGTGAATTGTCATCAAGCTAGCAACAGCGTCTTGCAACTGGTGTCTCTCAAGGCGGTATTTTCTTTTCTATTTTAGTTTCTGTTTTCATAAATTTTATAATTCTTGTTCTTTGGTGGCGTTATTATCGTTAAGTCAATGATTTACGACTGTACACTCGGGAAACCTGTGAGGGCCTCGTAGAAGTGATCCATGGTATAAAACGGGTCTTAGATACAATTAAACGATAGTGTTATAGGTTCGGATAGATTTTAAAACCGTTATGTCAGGCTACCTTCGCTGGGAGTTCTAGTCTAGTATTTTAAAAAAAGTCTATCTTCCCCCAATTATATTCGATAAGTTTACCACCTCTGTCAATCAGAATTTTATAGACTTGGTTTGTTCATTAACGTTACTCCTACCTGGAAAGATTAAACCTCAAATATCAGTCAGAAAATCACAAGTCTTCTAAAGCATCTATAAATATTATGTGTCTTTCTATTGTTCTCATCTTCAGTGGTTACCTTTTCGCTAACGCCGTTCCTTAAGAGCACTAAACACTATTAATTTTTTCTGAACTCCCTTTTCGCGCGACGCAAAGTAGTCTACTTCAGTGTCCTTTCCCCTGTTCTCGTTTCATGCACTCATATTTCATGTCTAGTCTAGTTTTTGTGCGTCGCCTGCCAAAACCTTTAAAAATAAAACATACCGAAGAATACAGTTATTTATATATGTGTGTATTTAAATTTTTTATTTAATGTTAATATTGCATGATACAGTATCATTATTTTTTTTAAATGATTAATATAGTATAGTATTCTTTGTTAGGTATATATACTCGTAATGTAGATTATCGTAAATTTCAATGATTCCTTCTTTTTAACTTTATAATCAATGCACATACTTTTTTTTATAAAGAATTAATTCATAAATAAATATTTACTCGTTAAAAGAAGCTGTTGAACGTTGCCTCTAAAATAATTCTCACGCAATAAAAAGTATACATTAATAACTGTATTTTAATTATAATTTTTTGAATAGATAAAACGAGATGCCGGTCTTACAAATTGCGATATTTTTTTCCTAAATACAAATCTCAAGTAAATATTAGCGATTTATTAATTTTATAATAGCGATTTATACATCGCTTGAAGAACTGATGACCACTGGGGAGTAAACGTTCTCGAGTAGCGACCACGAGCCTTAACACGTAGTGTTGGAAGGCCTCCCTCTAGGTGGACCGACGACATCGTAAGAGTGGATGTAAATGGCAAAGTGTCGTTCGTTGTGGCGTTCTAAGGGGGAGGCCTATGTTCATCAGTGGACGTCTTTCGGCTAATGATGATGATGATGATATTGTGTGTGTATAGTTTAGATACAATAGCACTAGGCATTTAGACTGCGGGAAAATTCAATTATTTGAATAATGGCCTGATACGACATTAGAAATATAGACATATATTTCTTTCTAATATAAACACATTCATTTCGTTATTTTTAGGTTTGTTTGGGAGTTAGTCATGCGATTGTGAATGGACGGGCGTTTTTCGTGGAAAAAGTAGAGCGTCATATAATAGAACCCTCGGGGAACATTCACCAAACCCTGCTGGTCCTTACCCTCAAGGGTAAGATATTTTTCGCGGACGGAATGATCCGATTTTTGAATCACTTAAAAGGTACAATAAACATAAAGGTACCCTTCCCTTTTTATGTTAAAAGGTTACGTCGTAAGCCAGGAGTGGGCGAATAATAGTTACATTATACATATAAACCCATTGTTACGGGTTATCCCCGAGAGAGACGAAATAGAGCCCCACGAGCCACTTCGTGAAACTTGGCGAGAAGACTTACAGTTATTGTCGGACTACTTAGACTTTAAGGTTTGTGCTCAGTTTTATTATTACAATTAATTTTATCTTGCTTAGCGCTTTTATTCACGTGAGGATTCTGTTTACGTATTCTAATCCGCCTCATAATGAAATACATCGAATACGCGAAATAATTCGAATTTGGACTTGTTTTTTTTTAACATGAATATAGATTCAATAATGAAATGTGTCCTGAACATTACAAAATAAAGTTAGTGTCAAAATACCGATTCAAAAACCATAACAAATGTACACATTACCATTTTTTTTTGTACTTATTGGAAATATTAATACTTACGATTACAATAGATTTTTTACTTTCCATCGAAGGTGATCCCAAAAGAGTTTTAATTAAAATCCTATTAACGTACAGCAATAAATGGTATCGATAGACTTCAATCTATTTTTAATTTTGATTTAATTGACTTATTATGAACTAAGAAGACCTCTTGTAAAAGGCGAAACCCTATTATGAATTATGGCGATTTAAGATTTTATTATAAGGAAATCAGCATTCGGTGTATTCCTATCAGTATCATCAGCATCATATCAGCATCACTGTATTATTTCGCAATGACAAAAAATATTGAATACATTATAATTATTATTATAGGTAGGTTGGTACGTAGGTTTACGTAAGTAAGTGATAAATCGGAAAAAGGTGAATGTAGATCCCATCACACAAATTTTTAAAAATTATTCACAGCTTATAAAGCCAATGGTTTAAGTTATTATTCACTATCCTTTACGATGAAATTACTGGCATTTATTTATGTTTAACTTTATATTATATTACCATTTGGTGATTGATCACGATATAGTAGTCAAAAAAATGCACGGATCAACTAGCTTGTTAAAATTTTGTCCTGCTTCTCTAGATTTCATTTAGTAGTACCAAAGTGTCAGTATAGCCTGCTATAAGCCTTAAAGAAAATAAGCATTAATCTGTTTCATTTTTGCACAACATTTTTTCATCTAAACATGATAAAAAAACCAAAAAAGTCGGGAGTTCAAATCAAAATAAAAAACGCGATAGAATCCGTAAACTAGTTTGATTTAATATAAAAAAGTAAAATTCCGTCATCATCGTCAGCACCCTTGAAACATATGTACACGTAATACAAAATGTTTGAAATAAAATAAAATAAAAATAAAAAGATATATGTTGAGAGAAATAAGTACTTACGGAATAAAGATGTATAGAACGTCATTTCGTTTTTTTTCGTGATAAAGTTATATTTCAAATTTTGAGTGTTTCATGTGCATAAACATTTTATTAAATTATATATTCTTCATTTTGGTCCATTACATTCGGGCAGGAGATTCCACGCTCATAAAAGTCCTGCTCTTTGTTTGCAAAAAACTGGTTCAACGGGAAGTTGACGGTTGAAGTCTTCACTGCAAGTGAAGGTCTACTCGTCCAAAAAACTTGGTCGAAACCGGAAAAATTAATAGGTGCCAAATGTGGAGAATGTTGATATCCCTTTCATTTTGTAAAAGCTTTTGGTGAGATATCAAACTGTATGATATATATATATATATATATATATATATATATAGTACCTGGAGGACCGAGCTTTGCTCGGTTTCTTTATTTTTAAATTCGATCTTACCGACCTAATAATAAGATTACCGACCAAGCTATTATAACATTTTCTTTCGCGGCGAAATTTATGTTATATATATATATATATATGAAACAGGGATAGGCACTGACATTTCAAAAATGAAGACCTACTAATCGAATATATATATATATATATATATATATATATATATATATATATATATATACAAGAATTGCTCGTTTAAAGGATAAGAGATATATATATATACCTTTTCTATTGATCAATTTGTCTTGATCACATTAAATATCAGAATTATTCTTTAGTTTTGAAATTAAACCAAGATGTTTTACGTGATCTTGAATGGTCGAATTTACAAATTTAAAGTAATCTCGAGAGTCGCTTTTCGACGGTCTTCCAGAACGTTCCAGAATGTTGCATTATCAACATCGAAATTGCCGCAACGAAATTTTGCAATATATTTTTGGTTTTATCGTTTGGTCAACAACCATATAAATTCCATAATTGTTGCTTGCTTGAACTGTATTTTAACTCTTTCGTACAAAACAAAAACTTTTACATAGAATCAAACAAAATATTTAACAGGCCTTACTATATCACCAATCAAAATAAGGAAGGCTGTTAAAGAAAAAAATAAAGAAGGCTGTGAAAAAAAAGCAATAATCTGTTGGGAAAAACCAATTTTATTTCTAGAACATTCTCTTTTTTTATTATTAAATAGATAAACAGCAAATGGACTTCCTCGTTTGTTGTCATGAGGTGACGGAAGAGATCGTCGTAGCATCAGCCACGGAACTGCAACATTGATTTTCAGTCGGCCCGGTTCGTTAGTGGTTCGTGTCATTTGTATGCATATAAAGATGGAGTGTCTCGTGTTTGCTAGCGTGTGTATGCGAGCATGCGTGTTTACACTCTGAATATTTCAAATCATTTGCTTTTCATTGCAGTCTACGAGGTCTTCCGAGGGCGCCCGCTATGTTTCGGAGCATGGGGAGTTGACAGGTACCATTCGTGATTACCTGCAGGCGTTGCTATTGCTTCGGCCAAATGACGCTCTACACTTTACCAGACACTACTTCGGAGCCGCGCTGTCGGCACTCGACCTGCCTCATAACGAATTCTTTGACTCGTCGACGAAACACGTTAGATATTATTTCTTCGAGGAATGACTGCAATAGTTCTTGCTTATGATACTCATATTTTGTTTGGAATATATTCTTTTATACACAATGTGATTATTATATGACTGAGTTTTTTAATGTCTGTTATTTTCTTTGACGTTAATCAGAATGAATATTCAAGCCGTAATAACATTCAAATCGAAGCATGACATGAAGTCCGACAAACGTTCAACTATGGTATGTCATCTAAGGGCCATCGAGGTTGCGGTTCGGACCGGGCCCCGATGGCCGTCTACTGTGTTTTTAGCTAATCGGTGACTGGGGGCGGTGAGAACCACCCTGGAACCCGGGTGTACCTTGTGTACGCGTTGTGGTGGTCTCACCGTGCTCGGAGGCGAGGGCGAACTATTGTGTTTGTTGTTACACTCGCTGTGGGTGTAGTGTTATCTGGCGGGAAAGTCATCGCATAGCTTTTGCTGTTGGAGAGGTACCGAAGAAGACTAGAGAAATATTAAGCTTTTGGTTTTCGTGTGGTGAGTGTGGCCCTTTTAAAGGTTAGTACATTTGCAATTCTAAAAGCACTGATATACGTAGGTGCCTACCCTACCTGCTCGCTTATTATTTTCTCATATAAAAATATCGACAATATGTACATGGTTGCAAGCTATAGTACTTCCGATTCAAAAGCACGGTCAGTATTTGGTTTAGTGTTGCAAAAAAAAACTAAGGTGTATAATGAAGTCAAAGTATGTAGGTATGCAAGCGATATAGGGCCGGCAAAAAAATATAAAATTATAAAATTTCAATTATTTTTCATATTGTTATTGACTTTTTTGTGTTTGTCAAAATATCACACGAAGTATAGTCAATAATTGTATTTGTGTGTGACTTACTCAAAAAATAAATCGGTGACTGTACTTTGTGGCTGTTAGCGACGCAGAAACATTAAGCACAGAAACATAAGATCTTTCATTTCTAAGATCTTTAATGAATTTTGACAAAGTTTATTTAAGCCAGTAGGAACCTAAGTGATACGATCTCAATTCTTTATGGGGCCGCATTGCCAGTTTACATGCTGCAACCAAATTTCCTACTAGTGGATTGATGGAAGATAGCGAGCACCGTCACAGTAGCGTTCGCTGAGATGAGCGTGTTGTCTGTATGGTAGGTGGTACTCTTATGTCGATCCGTTAATCCCAGTCAGCCTTTTATAAGAAAAAAAAAACTATTTTACTAAATAGAGAGCATAACGTAATTAGGATAAAGAGCAAATTAGATATTCCCTTTAGTTAATAACGAGATGAGAATGAAATTGGCTGCTTTATTTTAATTAAGACTTAAGACGGCTTTAGCAATTAAGATTTTGTTTTAGCTATAAATTTTCTTTATTGTTATAGCATGAAAATGTATGTAGATATCAATTTATAATTTTTTTAGTTTAATACAAATAATGTTACAATTTTTTTTGATATTTATACCACCGTTTTGTGGGTAAATTGAATTTGAATTCACAGGATTGAATCAATACTTACAATCATTGTAATTTCAAATCAACTAACTTTAAATCTACTTTTTATAATTATGATACTGCTCGAATAGAAAGAGATATAATTATATGTACTTAGCTGTACATTTATTCCATTCTTAAATCACATCCATTTATTAGATCTTTACTAATTTTGTTTCTTCCAAGGGTATTAAATAGATAAACTTTAACTGTGACGACGTTGATAATGTTATTAATCTTTTGTTATATGTAACTACACAAATCGTAAAGGTGAAATCAATATCGCGTCTAACATTAATCTTCTTAGTCAATATGTTACATCATATTGGATTCCATAACTATTCTTTGAGGTTTTATTGAGAAAATGTTGGAAAAGGATGGAGGAAAGGACCAGCACATCTGTATCAATGATTAAGTGAGTCACTTTCCACTCTTACTATACCTTGCTCTTGATAAAAGTAATCTACTCGAGAGCTCATCTATTATTAGACTATTTCAGTCATATCTATAGCTGATTGATTAATTTAATTTTGAATTTTAGTTTTTTAATATAGGTTGTTAATATTTGAAATATCTAAAAGATTATCCATGTACTTACTTCCACATTCGATTAAGCTGCTTAGGCAATTTTATCGATTTTTTATTTCATTATTCATTAACCGAAAATCGTCTTTTCATTACAAATATAATAGATGCAATTTATTCGATTGGTCTAACTCCAAGAGATTGTAACGTTCTACGCAAATATACTACAAATTTAAACAGCTGTCAATGCAATTTGTATCTATATGTTCGTATTGCATGTAAACAATGATAAAAAGATACAAATTAGTATAAGGTGCTCTTATAATTGGTGACAACAAGGGCTGTTCTTTTTTCTCAAAGGTAAGAAGAAGAAAGAAGTACAACTATTAAATGGAAATGTAGTAATCGTTCTTGAGAATACGCTGTGCTGGGTCCGTTGGATAATTTAGTGTATACCTTATATTATATTTAGTATATACCATTAAGTGTTACATTAAAGATTCTAAAAAGGAAAGGTAGAAAGTATAGAAGACTTATAACCTGCTAATATATTTACTATCCGCACTCTCAAAAGTAGTTGAAAAATGTGTGCTTACTCTTAGTACCTATATTTTATTATATATATATTACCATGTCATGGAAAATAATAATATCCGCACTCTTGACTGTTTTTGATTAACAACAACGTCAGGTAAAGAACTGGCATTACGCAGCTTTCCCTGTTAAATTTTTCAAGTGCGTTTGATTGTTTCTATTCAAATATTTTTATAAACGCTATTTAGGTTATAAGCTCTATTTAGGTTTCTTGACTCAATTTAGTTTGCTGAGAATTAGGTGAAAAATAAGTTTACTATTGAAAATTAGTTTTTTTTGCAAATAATGAATTATCAGCATCATTAGCCGTGGCAAATATTTAATTGTCATTACAATGAGGAAAATTAAATTAAGATATGTATCGTGGATCAAATGGATTACTTCCATCCACAATTGTATGAAATGAACTGAAGTTCAAGGAACTTGTTGAGATCACTTAACAAGGTCCTTAAACTGTTCCATTTCAAATTTTAATTGCGGAATTTTGTGTAATTATTCACAAAAGGCGGAAGACCAAAATTAATTGGAAGGTTTCTTTGTTCACATTTTTTTATTATTTAGTTATGAAATGTTAATTCTATCTATAATTTTAATTTTTAGATGAGTGAATAAAATATTTTGTATCTTTTTCCTTAGTTTTTTATTTTAAATATTAAAACATATACACTAGGCGCTTCTATTGCGACATATTTCGGTTGGCTTGGTCGATAAATCTTCACGAATTCCTAGAATACCGCTATTTATGGCTTTTTCGTGTCATCCTACTCATATCAAAACATCCGCAATTACTCAGGCGTTGCAAATGCCGGCTGGAATCACTTATTATAAGGTGAAAGCTTGCGCGTTGGTCACGTTTTCCTGTAAAAATCTTAACCCCCAGCGTTACGATTGATGGTAGTATGTACTGCAGCTGGCTTAAGGGCTCGCTGGTTCGAGCCTCGGTTTCAGTAACTCGAGTGAAATCTGGAACAGCTGAAAGCTGGTCGGTGGTGAGGATGGCCGACGGGCCAACCGTAACTCTGACCGCGGTAGCACCACTTGCATGGGTGGATGTACACAGCGCTACACTCGAGATACTCGAGTAGCGGGAGAATGACATCGTCTTCAGGACGGCGGAGCTACAGTTAACACCTTGGCCTGTTTCGACCGCAGTAGATCTCGTGGGAGTCGGTGTCCGTCACGATGTCGGACACTGATGGAGAGGTGCAATGTTTTGTAGATGTGGGGGTGTGGCTCGTTCTCGGCTTTGTCGTACATGTGATGGGCCAACCGGGCCACAAACTTCTGGATGAACTCCATCCTGAGGTCACGGGCGATTACATCGTTCGTAAAATAGTGCTCGGCCCCCACTCGAAGGGTGAGGTTCTGTTGTGCCTGGAGCTTGCACCTTTGAGGCGGAGGCGGAAACCAGTGGACGTGTTGTAGACACCGATCATGGTCTTAAGCGGAAGCTTGGATGCCAGGATAGGGTTGAGTAGCACTCAAGCTGCCCTGGCTTGTCAAACGGAGTGTTTGCCTTGGCTAGCCCTACGCAGTGATCTATCCGGCATCCAAGGTACCTGATGGAATTCTCGTTTTCTATCGCTTGACCGCGCAGCTCAAGCGTGGGTTGGTTGATATGACCGGTTGGCGGATGTACATGGTATGGCTACAAGGTAGGAATGTCGTTTGTATACATCGGTGCGGCGACAGACAACTACTACTACCTTGTGGTAGTTGTCTGTCTCCAGCTTCGTCTACATGCATGGACGCATATGACGAACTTCCGGTCCTGAAGAAATGATGCTGCTAACCGCACGAGCGCACGGTGGGTGGTGGTGTTATTTAGCAGTAGGCCCTCTTGCCACAAGGCCTTCTCCATGTCGAGAAGGACCTCCAGACAGAAGTGGCCCCTGCTGTACGATTAGAAGAATTTTACCTATTCCTTTTGACAACATCCAATTGACACATTACCTACTTAATTTTAATTAATAAAAGCGTCGTAGATTGTGATTGCAAAAGAAAAATAAGGACTTGATTGAGCTAAAATTAGAAAAAGATTTTGCCCGATTGAGCTAAAATTTGCTCTTTTGGCACAATATGTTTGGTTTTTATAAAAAAAAAATTAAATAAAAAAAATTAAAAACTATTATAATATAGGGTAGGTAAAACGCAAAGATTTAATAGAAGGTGTAAGGTTTAGGGTTTAATAAAAATGTCTTACGATATGGGATTATTGTAACGTTAAAGTTCTTAAGGTTTTAATGATATTTTTATTATCAAGTTTAAATTATATTTTTTTTAATTTTTAGTTCGTTTTTTATTAACAAGAATATAATAAAAGCTTGTTTTTAAAAAGCTTTTTATACTTTGATTGTTTTTATTGATGCCTACTGAAATATTTGGGCGACATATGTACGCACGTGGATGCAATAGACCT